AATGACATAATCATTCCAAGATTATCTACGAATTTCAATGGAAATATTTCTAGATGATTTCTGTACATTTAGTATTAGAGCCTGTCACTTAGAATGTCTTGGTCAATATTTGAATCAATGTGCCAAATATGGAATTTCTTTAAATTCAAAAAAATACCAATTTGGTGTGTCTTCTGGTAAATTATTGGGTCATATAGTTTTGATGGCAGGCATTACTACAGATCCGGATAAAAAAAAGATTATAGTAGAATTAAAGCAACCAGACACTATTACGGGTGTTCTAGCATTTGTCAGCCATGTCAGTTATTATCGGTGATTTATCTATCTATTCGTAGCTATATGCCTTCCCTTAACAAATCTCTTGAAGAAACCACCAACCGATGGAATCAGTCCATTTTGGACAAAAGAATGTACAATTGCATTCGAAACATTGAAACAGAAATTGGTTTCAGCATCAATATTGGTGGCACCTTGTTAGACAAAACCATTCCAAGTTTATGTAGATGCATTTAATGTCGCAATTGGTTCTGTGCTAAGCCAGAAAGATGACCGGGGTTTTGATCACCCTATTTATTATGCTTATCATCAATTGGTAGCAGCGGAAAGAAATTATACAACAACCGAAAGAGAAGCATTGAGAATGATTTATTCCGTACAAAAGTTTCGACATTATCTTCTTGGTTATAAATTTATTTTCCATGTCGACCATGATGCTTTAAAATATATGATTAATAAGCCTCAATTGAATGGTCGTATTGCATGATGGGTTCTACTCTTGTAAGAATTTGACTTTATTATTCAGGTAAGACTAGAAAAATCACATTTCAATGTGGACCATTTATCTCAATTATCCAATATATTAGGTAATGAACCCATTAACGATGCACTACCTGATGCGGGACTGTTTGCAGTAGATGTAATTACTCCATAGTATAGTGAAATAATTCAATACTTGACATTTCAAACCTTTCCACCTAATTTTAATGAAAAGCTTAAATGATGCTTAATATTAAAATGTGCACCTTATACGATGATTGATGAAGCTTTATATAAACAAGGCAAGGATGGAGTTTTGCAATACTATATTTATCAGACTGAAGTGCATACTATATTGGAAGGTTGCCACTTAGACAGTTGTAGTCGACATTTTGCGGGGGAAAGCACAGCTCGTAAAGCTTTATATGCTAGTTATTGGTGGCTTAATATTTGGAGATGCCCACCAATTCATCCATCATTGTGACCCATGTCAGAGAATGGGTCGACCTACTAGAACTTCAACAATGCCATTGGTACCAATTTTGGCTGAAGCGCCTTTTGAAAAATGGGGAATTGATTTTTTGAGACCAATTGTACCAGCCTCGAGAAATGGACAAAAATGGTATATATTGGTAGCAATGGATTACGTAACAAAATGGGCTGAAACCATAGCTATAAAAACCGATAGTGCAAGTATAGTAGCAACCTTTTTGTATGAAAATATTATTATACGGTTTGGTTGTCCACAAGAATTTGTTAGTGATTGAAGAACTCATTTCATAAATAGTACAATCGAAGCACTCATGGCTAAATACAAGATAAAACATCGAAAGACTACACCGTATTATCCTAGAGCCAATGGACAAACAAAAAAGACTAATAGAATTTTATGTAAAATCTTAACAAAAGCAGTTTCAGGAGCGGGAACAGATTGGGACACTAAGTTGTTTGCAGCTTTATGGGCATACCGTACTGCATATAAAGTTACTACCAATGCTACCCCTTTCCAATTGGTTTATGGCCAAGAAGCAATCTTACCTATTGAATTGGAAGTCCAAAGTTTACGAATTGCTATAGATAATAGATTGTGAGATCAAGATTCATTACGGCACCGTTTAAAAGAATTGAAAAAATTAGATGAAATTAGAGCCAATGCATTAATGATAATGGAAACTACACAAAAACAAAAGAAGATTTATTATGATAGTAAGCTTAGACCAAAGGTTTTTATACCAAATGATTTGGTACTTCTTTACGATAATCAATTTAAAAAAAAAATCAGAAAAATTTCAAGTTCAATGGCATGGGCCATATCAAGTTATTGACGGATTTCCAAATGGTTCGGTACAATTGGAAGATTTTATGGGTACTAAATTTACGACACGGATCAATGGCAATTGGCTTAAACTTTACTATACATAAACTAAGGACGGATTTTTTGTTACAAAAGAGGGAGTCGACTCAATTGATTGGACCGTAGTAAGAAGTAAGAGGGGGGCTCTTGACAAGCATTGTGTTTTCTTTTGTGGTTAAGGAGAAGATGGCGAACATGGTATCTGAGAAAGTAAGGATGGAGACCGATTGGAAGGAACAGCAAGAGTGGTTGCAGGTAGAGGTTGTGATGTTGTAGACTCAATTGGTTGCATTAGAGAAGGAGGCCAATAATTTAGTGCGGACGAATATACCAATTTCAGCGATAATGCCTTCGGAGATACCTTTGAAACCGACAGAAGAATGGCAGAAGATGTTGGAGGAGCGTGACAATCAAATTGCCCGACGTGAGTTTTAGGTATGGGAATTGAGTTTGTTGAATGAAGATCTGATGGCGTGTTTGGATGGAGAACCATTGAACACCGAGGTAGACGATGAAGATGTAAAGATGAGAAGGTCACCATTTCAAAAGGTGGTAAGCCAACGCCATTGACTGAAGAAGCCAACGCTGCTACGTCTTTATAAGTTGAGGCTAAATAATATTTACGATGATGCTGCATAATTAGGAGTGGGGCTATGTAGAATAGGTAAATAAACTTTGTGGTAAGTTACTAGTTGATTATTGACAACCTTGAGAATTAGACTTATGGTTAGGCAGTTTACTTAGTAATAGTAGGTTATTAGTGGAATAAATGGTTACGAATTCAAAAGGTCATAACTTTTGAAATCCGTTGGCTGATGGATCATCTTTTTGGTAGGATAAATAGGTTGAGAAAAGTAAGCCGAGAGCCAGACTGTGAGAGTCGTAAGCCGAGGTATGCTTGGTACTACCTCTTTGTTTTTTTTTATTATTTGCTTATGAAAAATTGTGATTGAAAGAAGTATTATTAAATTGTTAATCATAGAATGGATTATGGGTTGAATTAAGATGGAAGTAGTAAGCCTCGGTGTTTTGTAGTTTGATACTGGATTTTAGAAAGCCAGAATACAGTCAATTGTGACACTAACAGATCCAATTCATATAATCAGTCTTTCTCCATGTTCGAACCTACCTCTATTAGTTCAATTGCTTTGGTATACTGAAGCTTGAATACAACAAGAATAACACTTAGCTTGCAAGGCAAGTTTTTTATATTTGTACTACATGATTAGCTTGTACCACAAGCTACCAATACATGTGACACATAGCTAACTTGTTGGCAAAGTTTCTAACTTATCAATTACCTATAGATACATATAAAGATGAAATCACATCTATGAAGCTTCTAAGAAGTTTTTTTTATAAGATATTATCAAATTAATCTACTTTTACTTACTTTTATCTATTTATATTATCTAAGTAATTATTGGAATCAATATGTATGTTTGTGATAATATTATAATTTATTATATGGACAGATTGGAATGATTTCAATGCACACATGTAAGGTTGGCTTTAAAATCTATTTCATAGATGTTAAAGACAAATTCATTATGAATCAAAGATAACCTTCTTTGGATTAGTGAAAAATATATGATGTAATATAAGATGGTAAGATCAAAGATAGGTCAATTTAAAGAATCGTAAAGGTAGGTCAATTTAATATTTTAAAATTAAAAATAAATCATAATTGATAATAAATATAAAAGATTATTATCAATTCTTAAATATATTATGAAAATAATAAATTAAATATAAAGCTATTTATTTTTAAGATAAATAAATTACTTTATAAATTTAATTATAATTCAAAGTTTACTTATAAAATACAAGTATTTTATTTAATCTTTATTATAACTTGATTCTTCATAACAACAATTTATCATAGTTTTTATTTTTATATTTCTATTCTTATTATAATTATACTTCTATAATTTTACAAAAAATAGTTATTATGAAATTTAAAATATGAATAATTAATTAAATAAATTATTTTTAAAATTTATTTGACCTAAGTATAAATATTTTATAAGATTTTATTGAATATAGTTGAAATTTTGCTTTTGCAAATTGAACCACTAACCTTTTAGATTTCATGTATCCAAACTTAGAAACAACATGAGATGTTTTAGTAGTTCAAGATTATTATGGATCATTAATGCTTAATGATAGACAACTTTCAAATTTTGAAAGAATTTTAAAAGAATAAATTTAAAATTTATACTTTCAAAGTTATAATACTGGCAAAGATAAAAAAGAACAAGAATAAAAGAAGTAGATAAAAACATAACACATGTTTTTAAATAACATTAACAGAATCCATAATACATTAAATATTTTTTTTCATCAAACACTTCAGAAATCCTATAGTCCATTTAATTGTGTAAGAGAGTATGTGCATATATATATATATATATATATATATATACAGTTAGTTAGTTAGTTAGTTAGTTAGTTAGTTGAGTAGTTAGTTAGGTAAAGGCATTATTAGAACTCTCCACGTTTTTTTATTGTAACCAGAAATTTCACCAAAATAATAATATCATTGAAATGAAAATTTTGATTTGTTTGAGGTAAACCTTCGACTTTATCTGAGTTGAAGTAAAATAACTCGATCCTCCTCCCGCTACCAACTCAAAGACAGTTTTGAAACAGCTAGAAAAATATCCGTGAATGACATGGAAAAATGTAAGAGAGTATAGTTTGGCTCTAACGGTGGAATTTACCCATGAACTTATGTGTTTTTTCTGACCAAGAGCAACATGAAACGTGAAGGGTACAGTTGCAAATTCTGTACAGAAAGTCATCTCTATCACCTATTTGAAAGAAGTCGGTTTCTAGCAGCTAGAGGAACATAGCGCGCAACTTCATCACAAGCTCCACGGCAACAAAATTTGAAAAATGCAGTCAATTGTCAAATTCCTGGTTTACGTACAGAAAAGAGCTGGAAACTGTATCCTCCGATGTGCCCACCCTCGTGAGATTTCAGAGATGTGAGTTTCTTTGACGTAGGCATGGTGGTTTAGAAATCCAACTTCGAATCGAGATTATTTGATGTGCAATTGATTTCTAACCTTAGTGGCATCTTTTACTCCGATTTCCGGAGTGCTGCAGGTTTCCTAAGTGGAAACATCATTTACTTGTACAAAGCTCATTTCTGATAGGTCTCAGTGTGTCCCTCCATTCGTATCACCAATATCGTCAGGAAGGGCCACGACCACCTCCAAACCCCCATTCATGACCTCTATGGCTTCATCTTCAGCCAACATTTCCTCTGCAGTGGTACCATCAGCATTAACGTCTTCAGGGGAGTTGTTGTCAACATCATCAAGGTCGTCATCATCATCTGATTCACCTTGGCCCTGCTTCCTTCTCTTATACCCTGCAGTCGTTTCTCTGTCGGCTTTCATGCTTTGTCGGCTCTTGACACCAGATACCTCCACTTTCAACAGATTTGCCTCGTTCTTGATATGAAACGGCACTCTAAAGCAGAAGGGTTGGATATCACTAAGCTCCACCTCTTTAGAAGTTTTTCTGGTCACATTTATAAAACACAGAATATTCAGAGAGCGGTGCAAAAATCAGTGACTGGTGCTTTGTACGAGCCCAATCCTAACACCCATTTACACGAAATTACAGAACTGGACCATGAACCTTGTAGAACATGAAAAAATAGGTATTGAAATGACCAATGTCTGAAGCTACAACTGAAACACAGATACTTATGAAAACATGAATTTTAGTTATAAGAAATGATGTACAATACAGATAAGAAATCATACAGGTAAACTTCGTGTTCTGTAGTTTTTTGCAAAAGCAAGCATCGTGCGAGAAATCCTTCATCTTGTCCCGGTTTGTCATTAAGTAATCTGGCGCAAATAATCGTGCTTTCTACCACATACTGCCAACACACATCATATCAGTATGAATTCGAGGTCTTGGAAACACCAGAACATCCATGATAATTTGAACAGGAAAATTAATAGTAACAATCTTGTGCCGATCATGCCAGTATTCCCTGTAAATATAGTGTCGCGGCTCCCAAAGCATCATATAAGTCCAAGATATGAGTGTTTTCTTCGAGCAGAGTGTTGCACTTCTGACTGCATCATTGACTCTGTTCTACATACTATTCACGACAGCCAAAGATTTTCCACGTATCGAATGAACATTCTAGTTCAGAGTCAGACGATATCCTATTTCAAGTAATAAACTTACCACAAAATAACGACTCAAAGTTTCGGCATGATAAACAGCCCAAACCTCGTCGTTTCCTGGGTACACAAAATAAGAGTTTTCGAATTTCACATAGCTCGTCACCCTGGTTTGAAGAACCCAACAACCCCCAATATGCAATTAAAAATATTCAGTAGTGGGAATAGGTCTCCATCTATGTTTGGTGGTCGGAGAATTCCACTCGTATTCACGTCCTTTTAGGACTTCATGGAATTTCATCAACCTTGTAACTTCATGTATTTTAAGAGGTTGATTAAACAGCATAAGATTCATCAAGAATTTGTACAATGTCAGAGAGACAAGAATTAGATTTGGTGCATAAAAGGTACTTGGCATCGATCCAACATTGTTGGAAAAGAAAATGATGTGTGCACCTGTGAGAAAATGCTTGCCAATTGTCTTGAATATCTACTACGTCACGTAGCTTCAGTAAACCAGAACCTCGCTGTGGATTCCACTCATCTACTTCGTCCTTGGCATAAGCAGGCGTCATTTCCAGATATTTCCTGCAATTTGTAGAAAATACTACGGCATCATCTTAAAGACAAATCATCAAAAAAACCGATTACTAAACATAGTGAAGGCATTCGGATACTTCAAGAGAGCTAGCATGCTGAACAAGATTAAAAAGTGAATTATCAATCGTTAAAAGGGAAGAGCATAAACTAAAACGTTTGTAGACAACAAAATCTCACATTTCAATGCTGAGCGGCAGCTTTGTGATACTCCGTTTTCCGGTAGCATCCGGAATTTCAGAGAATCTGTCCCCAGTTCGCGACTGAATGACGGCGTACCAGTTTGGTCGCCCATGCTCATTGAATAAAGCCCATACCTACCAACAAGCAATGGTCACATGGTTATTAGGTCAAGATCGTATTAGTTGTGTAATAGCCAATGGTAAAACACCATGTTGCGATAGCTCATTAATTCCAGTTGTACAACAATCGATATAGAAACAGGAACCATTATGCAAGAGAGACAAGATTGCACTATGACAAGGAAAAGTCACCTGTTTGAGCACATGTTCAAAATATACCAAGAGGAGGGCATTAATCACACATGAAAGAAAAGGAGCATACATCACCAGGTTCCATAGCAGACAACTCCTCCTCCCTCACTGAGCCGACAATATTCACTGCTTTTCCATGAAAACGAACTTCAGATTTCAGCAAGGAGCTCGTGAGGTACGTAATTACTTGCACCTGAAATTCCCACGACGACATTATTCCAAATTCCATAAATTGTGAAAAGGAGAAGATTTGATGCTTCTGAGACTACATTATCAGTTACAAAAGCTGATTTATTGTGAGAGTCCAAAAAGGATTGAAAGATGAATCTTACCGAAAAGCTATTTCCAAGTAGAAACCACCTATCCAGGTCCTTAAGGCTTTCCTGCCTAGTTGGATTTCTCTCCCAAACTTGTGGTGCAAAAAAAGTCCGCGACGTCCTGTTCTTGCGCAGCTGTCTTATTGACGGAGTTTGTGGAGGGCTTGATTTAGGCAGAGCAACCGTAGGTTTCCTGAGAACATTAACCCGATTATATAATGGGCTCTGGAAGTAAAGCTGCTGTGAATCAATAATAAGGAGAACAATAATACAGCACGTTTCAGGCTCTCTTCCAGAACTCTTTATGTCTGAGACAACGGCTCTATATGTTATGTTGTGCTATCAAATAACAAACACCTGTTAACATCCTGGTTGAACAAAAGGGCACATTGGCAGGCAACAAATCTAGCTAACAAATAGTTCTACAAAAAAGGGCCAACTCAAACACATGCGATTGAGACAACAATACGACATAGAGCTCGGGCCATCCTTGGCTGTCTTACTCTGGTATCCGTACGGCTTTTATAATTTTTTCTGTTATCTTGGTTCTTCGTACCACAACGTTAGTGTAATTCCTGGGATACCCCATGAGCAACTCAATCTCCGTCTGTTTGATGTAACGGAGTTTATTGATTGTATTATCCAAGACGAGTTCCAGTCTAGCGCCACCACCTTTATAAAGGTTGTTGCAGAGGACAACCTGAGCACTCCAACTAAGTCAGTAACTGAATTCAGCAAAAACATGTAACGATCAACAAAGTAAGCGATTCGATCCAGATATCAAGGACTTACCCCGCATTTCTGTTCTAGTGCAAGTGCACCCTCAAGGCAGCTTTGGAGGGATGTGGATGGATGATCACGTAAGCGAGGCAGCCGTGGAGGATGAGGAATATTTGTCCAGTACAAACGACGACGTTTACTTGCCGTGATCTCTTGAGAATCAAGCTCCATGGGAACCACTTTCAGATGCCTAGTAATTTCCTCTCGGTCAACCCAAGACATCGATGCAACATTCTCCACTAAGAACCTGCGACCGAAAATGGAGGTGAAGAAACACCATTGAGATCGGGCCATGTACAAATGGACATTACAATCGTCTACCTTCATTGAAAATCCTCGCTAGTCCCCCTGACAACAAACATTGAACGATCATGTCACGCTTCACCATGATAGCTGTACACGAGAGTGGCGCCCGACACAGTTAGACCAAGTTGTGCCTCGAGACAATAAAATTAACCTAGACTTCCCCCAGTGAAATGTTGCGATAGAATACCATTTTGGTTTGAAAATCTGTAAAACACGAAGAAGGTCGAAGAAGAGTTTGCTTCTACTTCCATGAAGCCTGGCAGAAAAAAAAAAAAAAAAAATCATTTAAATTATAACAGTAGTAATAGGAAGCTATCACCAATACCCCTGAAATCAACCATACTCCAGATTAATTCTACGGTACATATCTTAGCAAACAGCCACAGACTGACTCACAACTCCAGCATGCCGCCTAAACGCACTCCGACTGAGAAGGGTCATTCCGAAACGCAGATTTCTAAAGCTACGCTTCACTCACTACGACCATCCAACAACCGTCGGGCATGATCCGAAATACTGAACTGTATACGCAAATATCAAGACAATTGTAAGATTATCCGGCATATGTTTCAAAGAACAGTGAAAAAATACGCAATCTCAATTTGTAAGCCTCACCCTTCTTTCTTTCCCATAATACTTAGATCCTGACATGGAAAGCCGCCAACTACAAGATCCACCTTCTCAGGTATGGCAGACAGATTCAACTTCCTAACATCGCCCACATGCTTGACGTGGGGATGCCGGGATTTCACAACTTGTATTGCTGGCGCCAACTTTGACAGAACACCCCACGCATCAATTACCATCAGCGACGAACGAAATCACAAGAAAAGTGTAAGCTCCAGGTAATTCAATGAATAGCTCACGGTGTGACCGTCATAGTCGCTCCTATCAAGACATCTACGCAATTGGTGACCGCGTTCCAATGAAAAAACATCATAGCCAAAAGTTTATCCGAATAAGAATTTCGCAGTTCTCATTGACAAAGCTTCTGCACGAGGTGAACGTGACATTCAATCCTTTGAGCGTAGATCAAATCCTAGAGACATTCTCTCTGAAGATGGCATGCTATCTTTTGAAGAGAGGGTTTTATGCTTACCACTTCAGAACTGTAACCACTGAACGGGATGCCTAGATTGGTCAGCGCTTGCCAAATTCCGCCAAGTCCATCAAATAGACTGAGAACCACAAGCCGTTCACCTGACCATGGCCCAGCATCTGCCTTAAATGCTGTCACCCAGTCACCATCTCCTCCAGGCCCTTCAAAATCCAACTGTTCCAAATTCCGCATATCAAACTTTCATGTACAATTCCTTTAAATTGTACGTACTAAGGGATAAAAGAGCAGGCCAGATGGAAAGGAACCAATGCAAAACAGTGCATGGGTGCAGACTGCACTTGATGCAAGTCAAACCTCCTTGAGAGTGCCACTAAGTGAGGACTACGACCACAGCAATTAAATGGAATTACGTGTTTTGTTTGTAAGTTGGCCCAAAACGTGTGATTAATTCCCTCGATCCGTGCTGAAAATATGTTTGAATCGATTAGTATGAACAGTGTAATGAAAGACTATCACCTTGTAGCCTGGAATATTACAAGGTGAGGAAGTGATGCCGTTCGAGAACAGCCCCCCGGGGCTGGCAATAATACCATTGTTATCATTATTATAGCTGATAATATTTCTTTTTGTTTTTTTGTTGATCCCGGTGGGTGTAGTACTCACACATCGGCAAGTATGCTTCAAACGTTCAGCCTCTCTCTTCAACTCCTCAATCTTCGCTAGGAAGGTGTCCATTTCGCGGCACGCGTGTTTCAGGCCTCGATCTAACGTAGCGTCACCAGTATCCTCTTGACCCGACAAATTGTACACATGCGCGCATCATCCAACTGAACAACTCGCAATACCGTCATCTGCTTCGTGAAATTTTTCGATGATCGAGAATCGAAGCTCGTTCCACTCACAATCGCAGCCCCCGACTTCGAATTACTCGAAAAAGGCACTCAAAAGTCTGTGCTCTCTACAAAACGATTAATATACATAACTTTGTTATAAAATTTGATTATAATGCTCATTGCAAAATTAAAAGGAAATACAAAAAACTAGCAACACGACAGCAACTACCACCAATTCCAAAACTAACAGTCACTAAAAACACGCGGTACAAAGAAACCAAACCAAGCGTTAGCCCAGTGGGAAAAATTATAACAATCTTCTGCATTCCGCTCCCATATTTAAACCACGACAATGCTACGATTATCTGAATACTCAGCACGACACTAAAACTCCAGGCCCGACAGACGCCTCCTTATCGAGCTCATAAATTACAGAAATCAGGACTCAGGAACGCGACAGCCCGGTTGTGACCACGGGATCTCCGCTCGCCAAATTCATCTCACAAAAACTCTCTCCATCTCTCTCTCTCACACACACACACATACTGCGGCCTCTCCTACATGAATCGCTCACGCTTGCAGCTCCGCATTTACTCCCCTTCAACAATCCCTCACCTTCGTTCTCCATAGCACCGCGTCAGCACCACCATCCCCTCTCACGCCTCTACCGAAATCAGCCGAAATTCAAACTGCGGCGTTCCAGCGCACAGGGGAAACGACTGATTGGAGGCTCTTCTAACTCCTCCTCCTCCTAATCCTCCTGCTGTTCCCCGCAGCCGGAAGGCAGCGCGATGGCTCAAATCGACGTGAGAAGTGCGCCGTTGAATGCCATCAGATTCCGACGAGGCCGCGGCATAGAATTCGTTAGCAAGGCTTCGGCGATGCGGGGACCATTTCCCTATCCCGCTCCTTTTAATTCTTGCCTTCATTCGTCTCTTTCCGTCGCTCCCTCATTGCCCATCGCGGCATTGCTCTCCGAGAGGCCACCAGCTACATCACGATTGCGACGGGGGATGGAACACCTCGCTTTGAATTGATGGCGAAGAAAGCGCGCGAGCGTCGAATTTGGGCGGGCCGACGGCCTCTGCTTGCTCTTGTGCTTCGGAGCCTCTCAGTCTTGTGCTCCTCGTCGCATGCTGATTCCCGGACTGGAACCGTGGAACTGATGGGAAACTTAAAGTTTAGTCAGTCAGTCATTCATTGTTATAATGCCAACCTTTTTGGACATGCAATTGAAATGTAGGTTATTTCAACTTGGAATTCTATCATCTCATAAGATTGGAAATCTTACTATAATAGTCATTGAAATCAAGGATTGTGAGTTTTTTGATTATGGAGTATTGGATTATGATGAATTTTTTGTGCCATTTCAAACAATACTTACATTGTTTTGTACAGGTTGTTGCTATTCAATCACCCATACTAGTAAAAAGTCATGAATAACATGTGTAAAGGACAATAAGTTTGTTTGTACGATACACATAATAAAAATAAAAAATAAAAAAATACTAACTAGAGTCAGAGATTTTTTTTTTGAGATGTTATATTTTGTATTAAATGAATATGTAATTTACGAATTTTTTAACAACCATAAATTATAAAAATAAAAATAAAAAGTGAAAAATATATGTTGTTTTTATCAATTTTTATGTATTTCATTTTCTGGTTTATTTATTTACTATGAAATTTTAAATTTTCATTTAATAAGTGCATCACACAGATAATCTTACTATTCTTTAGATATACTAATAGTGAATTTTTACAAGTATGAATAGAAGAATAGCCAAAGACATTATATATATATATATATATATATATTGTATATATATTATTGCTATTGCCTCCACAATCAACCATTTACCCACATCTTTTGTCAATGTTTATTAATAGAAATAAATATTTTTTGATTGATGTTAAGAATAGTGTTAAATATTTTTATTTTTATTTTTAAATAAAAAGAACTGAATAAATATGTTGAATTGGTAATAGATTGTGGTGGTAATAGCAAAAAAATTGGTGGCATTAGCATCACTTTATATCTAAATATATATTTTTATAAGTTTTGAAAAGTATAAAATAATAAGTTGATTTTGAACAATAATGATGATATGGTATGACAAATTACACTTTGATATATTTAAATGATATCTTTATATTTTAAATTGCAAAATCTTGCAAATCAATATTCTAGAAGGAGTAAATAAATAAATATAATCTCAAAACCATCAACTATAAATTATATTCACTAAACTAAAATGATAAGACCTATCTTGTGCAGAAAAATATTTGACAAAATAAATGTAGCTTTTCACAGTACTACCTCTTCCAAGAATAATATTAATTTGGCAATTAGAAAGAATTAAGTAGATTTCCTAATTTGGCAATTACAAAAAGTATGTTCAAAGAATTAAAAAGTCATGTGGTAATACAAGCATTAATATTTACATATGTATTAAAAAATATTTTTCCTATTTTATAGTATATGTACTTGAAACATTACTTAATTGCTGGACGTTAATATTTCTAAAATTTACCCCGTAGATAGACTAAATACTAAAGTACATTTTATATTAAAAAATATTAAAAACTTGAAATTTGCAAAGACATAACTTAATATTTGGCACGATATTTACATAGCAACACGTTACTGCAGTGGAAATAGCACATTGACGCAGCAACGAAATATCGAATTACAAGGTGAACTTCGGCGGTTACAAGACAAAAAGTGACCGGGGTTTTCCTCTTGGATGTCCTATTTGACGTAATGTAATGGATGTTAGAATGACATAGATTGAAGCACCCTTCCAAGATAAGTCACCTGATGTGTTTTGCTTCACAAATGTACGCTTGAAATCAAGATTGCCTGCTCATGTAACAAGTTAAGGACAATGCAGAATTGGATACCAGCGAAAATTGCCTGACCTATCGAATGAATGAACTCCAGAAAGCGAATGATATTGCATACTTTCTCGAACGACAAAACCTTTGTCAAATCCACATCTCTGCTTGAACTCTCATAAACAATCTTCGTGTCAGCATGTATATATAAAAGTGAGAACACGGGAAGATTTCTAAAACCATGAATCAAGAGTTCGTATAGTGGGACTTTAAAACCAGAATCAGGCTGAGAACCTCCAGGCACTAATGCAGGGCCACTACGTGTCTTACAGGAACATGAAAATTAAAATATTTACAGCAGACATCACCGCTAGCTATCACTTAGAACGCTTTATCCTAATTAGTTTGTCAACTCGGTATGCTACATTTTTCTCAGACGGATGCAAAGGTCCTGGTCCTTGTAGTCAACATTCCAATTGCAGAGAATTTCAGGCTCCTTATTCCATGGTCTGGTACAAATACTATCAGGCAGAAGTCTTAATGATGAGGAATGTACAATATCTTGACCTGGACAGGAAGCTCCTGGAAGATATCACGAAGCAGCTACGTTTCGGCATCAACGCTATCCAGGAAAGGCAATCGTTGGTCTTTCCGCTTCACGTCCACAGCCTGTTGGATCTTGGTATTCCACATAGCAAGGTCTTTCAACAATGTAGGCAACATTTTATTGGCCAAAGCTAGCCTCTCCTTCAAAGCCTGCCTCTGGTCTTCATGTACACTTCTGGGTTTCGTGGGTGCTGGGCATGCTGTTTCCTCTGTACACAGATGCACATGTTACGCCAATCACTCAATCAACAAATGAAATACTCATACTGAATGAAATTCTAAAATATTGAAGTTCTGCGATTGAATCATATCTGCATTGGTAGACATATATAGCAATGATTGAATGTAAGACGCAACTGCAGCGAACGCCCAACCAGCTTCTATAAACCGATTACAATGACAATGGCATCAGAGAGTGAATGATATGAGGCTTATCAAGAATCTATAAAGATGCAACATGGATGCATCAATTTAACTGAAGTTTGTAGAATGTAAGCAATTCATTATTGTTTAAAAATATCAATTAACACCTCAGAATTATAGCGAGTAGTCACTCTCTACTCTGAGCATAAAAATACTCTGGATGACATTTAGGAGATTTCGTACATGATATGAATATTGGAATCGACAGAGGAAGATACGTAAAACATCAACCGCATTTGTAGGAACAAGCGGAAAGCCTAACCTTGGTTCTTCCTTACGCGTGCTTCGCTGAGGGCAGCGAAAAAGCTCAACCCCTTCTCCCTGTAGGCTGACACCTTCGCACCGAGATCCGCGATCTCGCTTTCCAGCTGGAGAAGAGGAAGGTGGCGAGACTGGGGAGAAGCGGGTGCCTGAGAACGTTTGGGGGTAGAAGGATCGCGTGAAGAGTGAGAACTAGAGTGTTTCCGCTTGGAGGACATGACTGCTGGATGCAAAAACAGGGTCAATGGAGCAGGATAGAACAGAATGCAGATTCAGAGAACGGATTCACAGGAGCTTCCGCTCTTTCCTCAACCGTCGAACCAACCAAAGCGGAACCCTAAACCCCCAGACTACAATGCCTGCTCAACCCAGGATGCAAATTCAGAGTAAAGCCGTTTTGAGAAACTGGGCACAAAGAGCATTCAAGTTAACCCCGGAACTGCATATACCCAAAAAATGAAGGACCACAATTGAACACGGAGTCGACCTTCAACATGCTGAAATTTGTACTTGAAGCTCCCGAACAGCAGCAGACAACGTTGAACCACCCGAGACTATTCAAAAAAGGATGAAAATGTTAATTCATTCAAATTCATCTCCACTCATTCTCATTCATTCGTTACAAGAAACTGGTAGTGATCGAGGCCCCCTTCACACCGCGAAGAAAAGTCGTTGAAACGGAGGAAGCCAAGCATCGACATGGGAGACTGGGTTGTAACGTCGCAACTTGGAATGGAGTCGAGGACAAGTTGCGTCGCAGACCAGCCTCAGCTATGCAGCCTCGCAGACAAGCTTCGGAGCTTCGGTGATGCTACACCTGGTATCGCCACTCCTCTTGTCTTGCTTCTTGTCTGTAGGCGATCGGCTTGGCTTGGCGCCTCTGTCAGCTTCCCATGGAGCTGCACACTGTGTCATGTTAGGTGACCTGCAGGATTATTGAGATATATCTCTTGGCAAAGATTCGCGTCGCGTCGGTGCTTCTTTGCTTGGAAGGGCTCTTGTTGCTGTGTCTCCCTTTCTTAGGGTTTTCTCTGGTGATGCGAAGGGTGAGGGTGAGGACCTGTGCAGCTGGGATGAGGATTGGGGATTAACTTCGTCGTCAGGGTTTCAGCGGGAGTGCATTGGAATAGAAGTGAACTGCTGAAGTGAATGCTGCAATCCGCGTTAGTGTGTGAAGAACATGGACCCGAGGAATGGCGAGCAAATCAGAACTATTTACTGGTCGGCTCCTGTCGTATTTTCAATTTCAATGTAAGACTTCAGGCGCCCCGGCCCTCTCGTTGCTCCTCTATTTTTTTCCGTTCTTGTGATCGTACTTCTGCGTTTAAATTGCGCAGTGACTAACTCAGGGATCATAACATCACTTTAGACATTCAACCTGATCAAATTGAATCCTATAGAATTGGTACACGGCATACTCTTACGCTTGAGGCTAAAAAATTTGCGCTGAAGCACACAGGAGTGTCCTCAATTATAATTTTAGGGCGAGAAGTCGCTAATTACACGGTCTTTCGCGAGCATAGAATCTACAACGCACCGATCGTAAAGCATTTTATTTGGCTTCTTGTGCTCCCGCACGAGCCTCATCAGATCGTAATCTTTCGTTTGGCAATGTTCCAAGCTTGCTCAGAGATCTTTATCCTTTTGCTAGCGACACTCGTCGAAACCACCTGCCCATAGAGTGGTGACACTTTGTTTCTACAACGAGCACATGCGGATTATATTTATAAAATTTGCCAGTTCGTAATATCGCCTTGATGTCGGTGCATGTATTACTCACAGTGATCTGTCCTTAAGCGGAATTGGGCTGCATTCCTGCATGGATTTAGGAATCTGCACCTCATACCGGTCAGTCTGAATTGCTCCTGCTGTATTGTCGGAGTGGGCTTGTCTTACAATTATAAATCTCTTTTCTCTTCGGGTAATTTAAATCTGTGTTTGGGAGAAACTGAAGTACCAGCTCTTCACTGTTCTCAGCTGAGGAGTTGGCAAAAGTCTAGGTAGTCATGGTGGGAATATCCTTCAAAATATCAAAGATCGGCACTCGGTATGTTCCAAAGGTCTCTTCCAACGTGAAGCTTCAGAATCACGAAGCAGCTGCTGAAGAGAATGGCGCTCACATTAATGAAGTCAATCACCAGGAGGGGACGCTTAACCGGAAACGGCCGTTGCCCGAAGGATTTGAGGGCGTGAAGAGTCTTTCCGCGAAGAAAAGCCGTGGGGAGGTATGTCATAAATTTGTGGTTCTCGGCTGTTTCGCATAAACATGTTTAGGAACGTCAGGGGCACTAATATTTTATGAAGTTACCATCATTCTCCTTCTTCAGTTGTGCCTACGAAGGCTTTCTTGGCTTAGTTGATTCTCTCGAGTGCGCTGTCTCTTCGTATGAACGTTTTTTTTCTAAGTTTCTCGATCTTGGTGCTTTTAAAGGATTGAAGCGTATTGAATTACTTACTCTAGTCTACTGAATTGTAGATTGCTCCGCGCGGTTCTTGTGGAGATTTGCAGACGAAACATATTGATTCTCTGGGGCGAAATGTACCGAAGGGTAAGCGCAAGCTTCTTTTGAATCAGCTTGGTAGTCTAATTACTAGCTGCAATGTTCCAGTTTCATAAATCTTGACCACCTTCCTATTAATTCTGCTTTCTCACACGGTTTTAGGATATCCATTGATCAGTCTATGAGTTGGGCTTTCTATGATGCTTGATTCGATTTGCTAGTAGTCATCTCTTTCTTATGTCTCTGTGCAGATGCCGAGGCTTCATTTGCAATCAATCTGTTTCCTGATGGTTTTTCTATTGATGAACCTACGGTGGTACGTTGTCTTGTGTACATTTCACATGAGGCGTTGCTTTTCTGAATAATGTTAGGAGAAGTAAAGCCTCATCTTCTGTCAGATTACAGTGATTCTTTGAACGCTTATCTTACGATCTCACGCTGTTGAAACATTCTTGACAGAAGGGTAAATTGCCACCTCCCGCTTGTGAAGTGGCAGAATTACACTTATTACCTTATGACCGTAATACTGATGATTTCTTAAGGGTACAATTTTTACCCATCGTTCCCTGTTATTTTCAGAGGAAGTTGGTTCAGTGCAGAACAGTCTTACATGATGAATGTGAGTTCGTGATTAATGAGAAACATCTAGGCTATTTATCCTGTTTTAATACATCTTAATCCTGTTGCTTGACGTGTGATATGTTCACTAAGATTGTTGTGTTGCGTTGTGTTGCATCGGAATAGGCCATTGACGGTGGATGGATGCCTAGTATCTTGCTTGAGGACATACCCTGCAAGTACTTTGATGGTTGTGCTATTTGCGAGGTTGGTCTTTTAGTTGGATCGACTTCTCCAGTTTGATTCTTTCTAATTGCACTTGATGTCTAATTCTCTACTTTTGCACCTGTTTATTTGGTCATTATGTCAAGAACATAATTAAGTCCCAAGTTTCTTGCAGCGGTCACGAAGTGTTGCTTTGTTGAACTATTTTGATGATGTGGGGAAAAGAACAAATTTAGAACATTGCTGGTGCATTTTTTGTACCAGCTTCGTGATTACAGAGATGGTCTTCAGACACTATCTGGGGAAAGAATCCAGTCACTGCCTCGCCATGGAAGAGAAGGGAGTCTTATTCCGACTGTGCAGCGTGTGGTGCTGCAACGAAATAGTGGAAATATTTTCAAGGACCTTAAATGCATGGATTTTGATGGTTGGACCTACCAAGAGTGTCTGGTGGGTCTTTTTCCTACATTGTGATCTCTTATTTTGGAAAGAAGCTAGATTATTTGGTCTGCTTTGTAAGCTCGAGCACGCCACTTTATCATCAGGATGTAGGAGCGAATCTTGATCTACATGTTTCTAACTTGGAGCTGTGGTATTAAATGTTACAGGAGTTGGAAGCTAGACTAATAAATGCTGTGCAACCTCCACTCTGCTTGGACCCAACACCAGAAGTTGCAAAAGAAGCTTACATAACTAATTACAATAAGGTTTGATTATCGATCTGTCACCACTTTTCCCATTTGAATTCTGAGCATGATGTTTGAATTTTGATCGTTCTTCTATTGTATCGAGGCTATGGCATTATCTTGTATGCATACTCACTAAATTGGATCTTAATTTTTTTTAAGAAATTCGGACATGATGTAATCTTCTGTAAAATTTGCCCTTCTATTGCAGTTAAAATATAACATAGGTTGCTCAATTTACGGGAGGTATCGAAAGACCTCTAGTTCTCTGCGAGAGCGCAGGCTGCATATTGCTGCCGCCGCCAAAGCTTTGTCAAGAGCTGATGGCTTTGCTAAGCACCGGAAGACAAATATTGATGGAGGGTTTGGAGGTGGTCCACCGCTTCTTAGGAAACAGGTTTCTGCTGTATCACCAGGTATGTCAGGTGTCTTGCTTTTATTCTCTCTCTCTCTCTCTCTCTCTCTCTCTCTCTCTCTCTCTCTCTCTCTCTCCGAGTAATTTTTTGTCCAGTATTTGATGCGCATTCTTCATTTGGTCTAAGTTTATAGTTTATATGCCCTCTTGCAGGTGGAAGGTATCGGTTACAAGAGGCTTCGAAATTGTCTCAAGCAATACCTGGTGTGTATATGCCGCAGTCAAGTGCTTCACTAGGTTCCCTGGGACAGCAAACGTCAGTGGGTCGTGCAGGAGGGCTGGCACATTCAATATCTGCACTTTCGGTTCCTTCGGGTCCTCTGTCTCCTGCAACATCTGCTGGAGGACACGAAGTAACAAGCGGCTCGGGAGGCGTATCAACTATGCTCGGAAGGAGGGAAAGCAAAGAATCAGCAGCTGCAGCTCGGGCTGAGGCAAAGCAATTGAAGGCCAAGCAGGTTGAACATTGTGACCTTTGGCTTTTTCTCGCCTTGTGAAAGTCCCCAGTGCGATAAGATTATTGTGAGGTTTACGCAAAAAAAAAAACCATCTTTCATGCTGTTGTAAGAGGTTTTGCAAGTAGTTTATATTGTTTAATCAGATGAGAAATTTTTACATGAACGTAAAGGTATTGGTACTCCGATGACATATTTCTGATCTGCAGCTTTGGAACGCGTCCAGGCATTACAGGAAAAACAGCAGTTACTGCAACGGAAAGCTCTGGATAAACAGGATGCAAAAGATCAAAAGGGAAGACAACTCAAGGAAAAACTACAGCAGCAGCAGCAACTCAAATTGGAGAAGCAGCAGCTTTTTCGAAGTAGCAGTCATTTGTCGCTGTTGTCTCAGCACTCAGGCTCCATCTCTATGGGGGACGGTTCTACAACTCCTCGTTCTGAGAACAGATCTATGGGAGATCAGAGAGAAGGGGTTGACGTAGTGATCAAGATGGAACCACAAGTAAGTTTTACCCTTTGCACTCAAACTTTGTCTTTATAAACTAATGTCAGGATGTACAACAAATGTGAGATTCTGCTGTGCTTTGGTAGAGGAAGTGCAGTGATGACATTGGTAGTAAGTACCGTGCTATTTGGTATTTTATAGGCAAATTGTGCAGCGTCTCAATAACTTGTATTTTATTTTTTATTATTTTGTATGTGGGCAATCAATTTTGGAACTATTATTCTTGACAGCTACGAGATTCCCGTAAAATTACTATGAGATTTTTGTTTCAACAGTGAGTGTATTATGTTGATAAACTTTTTGGGTTGAGGTATGATTCAAAACCTGTATCAGTTTGTCCTTCTCTTGGATTTGTAATCATTCTTTTTGGCTCTGTTAACAGGAGGTTTCAAGGCCCAAACAAGAATTTGATTCACAAAGTCTTGATGATGCTGAGAAAGGACGACAAGAGCAGCAACTGGCGGATGCAGGGAAACATCAAGGTACTTCAAATTTGGAACCATCACTTCTAGCTTATGGTCTAGGAGCTGAATACTTTCCTTGTACCCGACCATTTCCTCGAAACCTCATGAAATGGTACTTGCTTTTTGTGGCTGCCCATTTATGTCAAGTTGGATGTTAAGTTTGTAATAAAAAGTCACTTAAATGAGGATTTGGTTCAACATGAAGGACTTCGATCAGGTCAACACATAGAACACTTGGGGATGGTGCAGCAACCAATGAACCCTCTGCTGCCGCAGAATCCTTTGCCAATTCCAGGAGTGATTTTCAGTTCAGGTGTTGGGGTTTCAGAGTTACGCATGGGGTCCAACCACAACTTGGTGTCTCCCGTCGGTGGTCTGGTGCAGGCACAAGCGCATGTATTGGGTTCAAACCTTGTTTCTGGCGTCGGTCCAAGTCATATGAGTCAGGTAATGATTTTCAACTTGTTTATTCCTAGGTCGCAATGCATTTCCATTTTTTATCGATTAGGAGCGTATTATTGCTGAAGTATGGTTATTTCGTTATGATCTACTGACCTATCTCTACTATGCCCTCGGAATCGCCACATGGCTGGTTTCGGTCTTGAGAGAATCATGGGAAGTCTCCTTAAGTCTTGATTAAAGTGAAATGTGTCGCTCCCTATATGGAGCGTGGATTGCTTCTTTGGACAGTCCAAAACATGAATGCATTCTGGTTGTTACAAGTGGCAGCCACAGTTTCTGCTGCTGCATTTGATTTATTAGTTTTTTTTGTAGTGTCCACTTCTAATAGTAGTGAGTACAAACTGATACATGCACCTGTTGATCGATTCAAGTGTGATCGCTCTGGCAGGATAAAGAAACGAAAGAAGATTGTAGTAGAAAGAACTCCCTTTTGGCAAATTGGTTGTGGACGTCTTCAATATGCGTAGTTTACACATTGTATGTGTTATTTCAGATGCAACACTCTTTGGAGCAATCTCGACAGAGACAAAACTCATTGCCGAAAACTCCCACAAATGCAACTCCAAATCCTGGGGTGAATGGTTCTTCTCTACCCCTTGGGAATGGGGCTCTTTCGGCACCAGGTGTGAAGATGGAACCAGCAACTGGTGGGCAGAGAGTTACGTCAAGTGGTGGTTCAGAAGTTCAGGGACAGAATAAAGAGATGGAGACAATACATAAATTAGTTGCTGCCATCCAGCGGTACGTCTTTGTAATCATGTTGACACGTAAACATACCCTGTTTGCTATTCACTTTTCGGAACCGTTTCTCTTCTTATCCTCAATATTCGAATTTTTTTCATCTGTGGGTTTGGTTCACTTGAAATGTGACGTAACTTCTTTTCTTTTCTTGCTTCCTTCATTTATGCCTTATTGATTAGCTACTGAGAATATTTATCATGTTGTTTTCTCTAGACATGGATTGCACAACAGAAAGAAACCAGCCGTAAATTTTGTACTTCCAAACAAGAATCCCCCGTCTTTCCAATTGTTGTCAGTGGCCTTGTCTGAGACTGATAGTGAGGTCAAAGTGCCTATTGGTCAGCGAAGCATGGCCAATTCTCTTGCGGGTGGAAACGTAAACTCTCGCAAGACCCGCTCCCTGCTTTTTGTGAAAACTGAGCCAAAGCTTGACCAACCATATCCAGGCAAGTATGTGTACTTGTTATGTCGTTTTGACATGCAGGTCGTAAAGAGAGTCGGCACTTGATTTTGTTTTGATTGGTGAAATTGGATCTAGTGGATGTACATGTAGTTGCAGCAACACTTCTACTTGCATGAACTTGTTTTGTTTAAATTTTTAGGGCCTTCTCGGACTTTATAATGACTATCATTTCGAAGATGATACTGATAAGAGAGAGTGGTAACAGGAGCAATGAACTATCAACCTACTTTTCATCGATCACGAAAACGTCTTGTATTGTGCGGTCGAGCAAAAGATAGCCTGGTGGAGGCTATTATCCAAGTTGGAGATGATCAAGAAGAAGAAGCTGAACCTCCTCACCATGTCTTGCCTACCATGCCTAATGTTGTAAGTATTAGTCTTTACAAGTGTACTGGTTTCTAACGATTGTATTATTTCACTCTGAGAATGTCCATGTGTGCATGTTGAATTATCTAGATTTCAACAGTCGAATCTCTTAGTAGGAATGCTTTAAAGTGCTTGCTTTGCAGTGGTGATGAGTAATATACATGGAGGTTATAGTGTCAGATATTACGTACGTGGACAGAGTTCGATTTATCAGTTTCTTCCCAAGCTTCTGTGGGGTGAGGCTTCGAAAGTAAATGAAATCTTTCAGGGCAGGTCCAGGATATTGGTTAGATATGCGGATTGTGAGGTATTGCAAAGTGTGCACATAGTGGACATGTAGTATGTTTCGAAGTATGTTTTCTCAAGAACATCGTTCTGATTGCTTCTGGCGTCCTTAGATTTTAGAAAATAGAATATTTTGTACATGACTAATTCAATAAAAGATTGATAAGGTTATCTATTTGATATGTTACATACTGATGTCATTGCCTGTTGTTCGTTCTTTATGCAGCATGTGGCTGACCGATTTGCAAAACAGTACTGTGCTTTGGTAAACCGATACTTCTCATCTGTCCCGAGAAATGTTTTTCGGAGAATGTTACATCTATTACATTTTGTTTTGGTTCGAGTTACATAAATGCGTGTGCTTTGTAATTATTTCATCCTATGAATAAACTATTTGTTGTATGGTCTCCAAATTCATCATATCACGCCTGTCTGATGCTTCGTATATTGTTATGCCGTTTATGGCAGCTGAAAAAGGAGAATTATGAGCTAGTTTCTGACGAAGTTCAACAAAGTGCGCCTCGTAATTCAGTAGTGAATGCAGCCTCGAGTGCTCGTCGCATGCCTGCAGGTGCCTCTACCTTGGGCAACCCCCAAGTTGGTCATCTTGCAACTACTCAAAGAGCTGTAATGAGTCCGCAGTTGATGCAAGGTGCTATACCAGGGAATGTAATGCCTACTCATAATCCAATGCAGCTTTCATCCCCTAGCCAATTGGCTGCTAACCGGATGCCGCCTCCGTCGAATGCCCCGAGTCGGCAACAGATCATGAACAACCATTTGGGTCAACAAGGTATTGCTTCGAATGTAAAGCCTTCTCAGATTGACCCTGCCCAAGCATCTCAGATAGCAGCTCAACAACAGCAACATCACCAGATGCAGCAGCAAGTACCGATGCAGCGGCAAACGCAGCAGCAGCAACATCTCCAACAACATCACCAACAGCAGATGGTGGCTGCCTCACAGATAGCCCAACTGACGGGTCAGGTAGGACTGCATCCATCAATTCTTATTGTGCTCTTTTCATGTTCAGGATCGTCCTTGTAATTTAGTTCAAGATGGAGATCTGAGTTGCTTCTGCCGTGGTTGGACGTGGCCAGGGGCATAATTTGGCTTCCCCTCATCTGGTGGCCCAGTCTAATCAGCTGCAACAGCTGCAGTATATACAACAGCAGCAGCAACAACAACAGGCAAGGCATCAGCATCTCCTTAATCAGCGGAAAGTCATGTTATCAGGAACTATGGGGAACACGCTGCCGGGCATGAGTAATATGAATTCAGTAGGAATGCCAGCAAATACTGGTAATCAAGCAAGTTTGGCCAACATGCATAACCTTGCGGGAATGAATAATGTTGCTATTGGTGGAATAAGTACACTGACGTCTATGTCTGGAATGCCATCCCTTGGAATGTCGAGTCTAGGAAATATGGGTCAATTGGGTGCTATGAATGCCATGGGACAACAAGCAAATTTACTTAGACCCGGACTTGGAACTATAAACCAGGCTGCTGCATTACAGCAAGCCTCGAAAGTGCAACAACTAGCGGTTGGGAGGGCACGGACAGGCACAAGTGTGCTCGCGAACACTGGTGGAGTGCGATCTCAGGTGGATGCACTCTCAGCTCTCGGAGGTACAAACCAGGTGCACGGAGGCTCTGGTGTTTCAGGAATGGTACAGGGCATGATTCGGGGGAACAATCTTGCTGCATTGCAACGAAATTCAGTGACGGGGCTTGCCTCACCGAAGATTCCCTCCTCAAGCCAGAATTATTACTTGAATTCGTCGCAGCAGCAACAACTTAAGGCACAGCAGTTGAACGCTCAGCAATTGAATCCACAGCTGCAACAGCAGCAGCAACAACAACAACAACAACAACAACAACAGCAACAACTGCAACAACAACAGCAACAACTGCTCAACTCACAGCAGCAACAACAACAACAGCAGCAGCAACTGCTCAACTCACCGCAGCAACAACAACAACAACAACAGCAACAACTGCTCAACTCACAGCAGCAACAGCAACAACTGCTCAATTCACAGCAGCAGCAGCTGCAACAACAGCAGCTCAACCCTCAACAACTGAACGCACAGCAGTTGAATCCACAACAACAGTTGAGTGGGGGTGGCAGCCTCAATTCACTGGTTGGAAACCCGTCCAGCCCTCAACTTAGTAGTGGCCAAAGTTTAGGACCGTCGGGGAACGGCAGTGCAAGCTCATCGTCAATTGAGCTTCAGAATGCTTCTCGTGCAGCGGCAGCAGCTGCCCGAGCTCCTGTATTACCGTTGAGAGGGTCAAACACGCCTCGACCTGGTCAACAACCACAACTAGGACAGCCTACCCAATCTCAGTAAATTATTGCTACGTGGAGGTGCTGAAGCTTTTGTATATAAGAGAGCAGTTCCGAAAGATGAGCCAGTTAAGTTCGTAGCTTCCGAGCACCACTTAAATTTGGATCCAGTAGCCAGCAATTTGCTGGCTCTGGATATCTTGCGGAAAATTGATGGTTGAGTCTTGGGTTTTCTCTAAGAAGGGGCGCAGCTTAACCTGGGAATTAACTTTCTGGAGTTTTTGGATCTTGTCCCCGTACTGTAAATAAACCGATGAGTTCATTCATCAACATTTTGAGCTTACTTGGATTCTGGTTTCCTTCCGTGTCCAGCATGTACGAAGAAACTTTCGTCGCTGTTTGTCATAACTTATATGGCTGTTGTCGTTTTCTTGGTGTTCAATCCCGAACGTAAATGCAGATTCTTGAGTTCACCAAACTCATGCTGCGAATTGACTACTATCGTTCAACCATATGGTCGTCCAAGGGTTTAAACACTTCATGCCGTGTAAAGCCTTCAGAAATGTATGCGTTACAGGAGTTGCCCAAAGTTCCACACTCTAGCCTAACTTATTCTATCCTTTCGAGATCGCATCTCTTGTCATCGTGATGATGAGATAAATGCACAACTCCACATACACTTATGTTTGAATTCACTGAAGGAATATTCATTATCTTAATTCTTTTCAATAATGAGACTACAGTAGTGGCCAGATTGTCGAGATATATCACTGGGAGAAACTTGGCCTTATCAACATGCTAACGAATGACCAGATGAGCCCACAACCAGTCAACAGAGGATGTGGCAAAAGAAGTTAAGCTGAAAGAATTTGCATTTCATCTCATCATGCGAATATCACATTTTTCCAAAATTAGAAAAGACGCTGATCAAGCCCTTTCTTAATGTCAAGTGGTTGTGGCAGTGTATCCTTTTCATACATACTGTAATGGACCATCTTGAGTGAGTGTTGCAAAACCACTTGGTATTGGAAGTGTTGTCTTATTTACAGATTGTGTGATAATTGCATTCTTACTTGTAAAGAAAAATGATATTAATTGGACATAAAGTAAAATGTATATAAAAAAAGATTGTTAAATTGACCCAAGTATTTACTAAATTTATCCACTCATCCTAATCATCATCAAAAAATTCTAAATAGGCAATGAAAAAATGGTTGGATCCTCAATCAATGATGATGGATGGGTTGATTTAGTAAATGTCTGGGCCAATTTAACAATTTCTTATATGTAAATATATATATATATATATATATATATACTGAAAATATTAATTGATTGTTCTTGGATGATAGACTTTGAAGATGCACCATTTATTATATTGGCTTACAAATGTACATACCATGGTGATGATTTATCATCATAGTGTAGTAATTTATTTTAGAAATTATCTTATGCAATACTTACTTTATTGTTTTGCAATCATGTTGGACTTCATTATACAAATACATGCGGGTTATTAAGGGTTGATACATAGAAGCAGAGTATTTTTAAAATCAAAGTGACAAGTTTCTTTTGTAATCTTTTTATTTTTGTTTTATATTTCATATTGCACAAAATATCATGTTTATAAATTTAAAATTATTACAAATTAAAATAAGAGAAGGATCCAGATTTGATGTGCTTGTATTTTTAACTTCGTTCAATAATCATGCTAATGTGTGGACAAAAAAACGTGTCTTAAACAATGATTTTAAGTGTAAATAATATAATTTTGTGCATGTCATGAGACATAAGGACATGTACAAGTGCATTGATACAAGTAGTTTCATTACATAACAAAAACTCTCCAGTTACTATTGAATGAAGTCGTCCAAAAATACTTGCAAAACTTACCATCAATTACATACATGACTCTAAAATTTGAGTTAGTTAGACTTATTATACATCAATTGATTAACTATTTTTCTGTATATAGAAATTATTGATCAAGTTTAAGCAATCATAAGGTACAACTTAAGATTTTAGAGTTTATTCTCAAAGACACGCAAATTGCTTTAAAATGATTCCAAATTGCAAAAACCAAAACAAAACATTGTAAAAAATCATGAATAATAATATAAAAAAGGCGAACTAATCAAATCCCAGTTATAAAATCATTACCATGCTCAATAGAACCTTGCACACTTTGTCAATAATAAGATAAAAATAGTCAAACATACTAATATATATCTGATATAAAAACAACTTGGGGATAAACCAAAGGAGACAAAACCATCTCTAATTGGATACTTATTCCATTGTTTTTATCAAAATAGAAGCAAAAGTGAAACAATAAATCAACTTTTGATCAATCACTTATCACTGCATGATGTTGCTGTAAATTATTGAAAGTAGCATTTCAAGATTACTAGACATGGAGCTCGGAAACTCCCAAGTGAGGTTGAATAAAGCAGCATTGCTTCTATGGCTGTGGTGGATTCCGTGAGGTCTTTAATTTCTTGCCTTTGTCTTTTCTCAAGGAATTGTGAACTGCTAGTGAAAAACTGATTTGTGTGGTGGTTTTGGACATTGGAAGTTCTTCCACTGGTTCAATTTGCTGCATAAATTAATGATTCCAGCACCTATGCCTATTTTCACTACAAAGACACCACCAGCCAGATGCAATAAATGTTTGGTGGCCAACTGCACTGGTTTTCACTTGTATATATATATATATATATATAAAGAAAAAGTATTAGTTAACAATGATTCTGGGAAAAAGTCGATTCCCAGCATCTCCAATCCAAAAAGTAAAGGAGTATGACAACTTTATGAACCGAGTCGGTGCTTTAAAAGGCACATCACTTCCGAGGAATGTCATCGGCTGCGAAAGGCCGATAAACGACAGCCACCCGTGAATTTAGCAGCCGCGGCCGCACAAACTTCGGACTGGAACCAGCGCCTCGTCCCTCGATTTCTTCACAGACGTGCCCTGAATTTGTGCGCAGACCCGGTTGCATGTGGAAGCCGTAGCCCGCTTTCGTATTCCAGCAATACCATTCTCCACAGGGTAGTGCGAAAACTCCCTCCAGAATCGCCATTTGCAGCGCCCGATGTGTCTAGGATTCGACATTCGATGTCTTTCAAGGCAGATTGAACTTGAAGGAACCATGCGTAAATCCTAGTTCTGAAGTCGACGAAATGTACACTTTTGGTCTCTCGAGAGAATCTGACGCTTTCGTCCCCTGGATCGCGTGCGCGCCCGAGTTTGATTAATGGCAGTGATCCGTGTGGGCGTACCTTTGATCACATTCTGTCAGGGCTTTTGTACTAGCACCTGGAAGGTTGATCCGTCCGAGAGCGAGAGCGTTTTTTCCTGAATAGAAATGCTTCACCGGTTTCGTCCGAGGCGACTGGTAAGCAAAAGTATGCACACGGGTTGAAACTGGGCGGACTGGAGATCTGGGCTAGTGCACTCTGAGTCACATTGTCAGAAAGTCTGCCGACATGCTTGGGCCAAGGTCCAGCCCCGACGTCACCCTGCGCATGCCCGCCGAGTCCGGAGTCTTCCTATTTTTAGATTGCCACTTTGACCCACTTATTTCGCATTTCTGCCACAATCCTCTCAGGAGGCCGGTATTTAGCAATGCGAATCTTGGTTACTCAACTTGCACGACAAACAGTTCGAGTTAATCGCAGAGCACGGCAACAGAGCGATGGTGCAGCACAAATTACACATGTAAATGGCAATCGAAACAGTGTTACTCTGGCATCGGATGCTGGAGCAGATGAATTAGCCGGAAAGAAGTTGCGGTGACTTGCAATCATCCTCCGCGCTACGGAATTAATTTCAGAGATTTACGCCGTAGGGGTCTCTACGCACGTTCATGGCTTGAAGCAACATGGCGTCTCGCACCACTTAAGCTCTGAAGGTGGGCTACATGGCCATCTCACTCTCGACATGCACCAAGCTTGACTCAAGGTGGAGCTGGATGTGATGATCTCCGGGCTTCAAACCAGCTAGAACCTCAGAAAGGCGTGGTGCTGCATCCCCATGAATCGAGATTGAGCTGCAAAACGCACTCATTCTGCAAGCAGATGCAAACACTGACCAAGGATTGCATCGAAGTTCCAAGTGAAGCTTCGCGGGCGTTAATAGGAAGTGTGCTACTTCCATCGGCTTGTTCACCACGTGAGTAGGCTCTAATCCTGCTTATGTCCACGGACATGATGCATACTTCGCTATCTCTCCTCACCAGAATGTGATGGGGTGATTCTTCCAACTCTTCGTTGCGTTGTGAATTATGAGTTGCGGATCCTATTGGGATTGTTGGTTGCTGCGCAAAGGCATTTCAAAAGACTTTCAACTTACAGAGAAGTTGTGCTTGTTTAGACTTCAGGTTCCCAGTAGTGCCAGCAAAGGATCCAAGACGAGCCTTCTTCAAAATCGACCACAAGAATGGTGTCCGGGCGGGTGGCGAGTTTGCTGACGGTGCTTATAGTGCTTGCATCGCAGTGGAAGTCTCCCCACGCGAGGTCAATGCCGGTAGATTTCGACAACCAGGAGTATGTTCCCACCGACCAAGAGTACCCGGAATTCCCCCAAAACACTGGGTCCAACGCTCAATCTGACACCCCGGTCTTCGCCGCGCAGACAGGCGATGCGTTTGAATATAACTCCAACAATGGAAATTATGATGCCAACAACTGGGACGCCGAAACCTTCGCCAGCGAGGACCTGGTAGCGTCACCTTCTCAAGCGGCACAATCTAACGCTGACGCCGCGACCGAAGGCGAGCTATCCTACGACGTTTTCATCGACTTTCCGGAGAGCGTCCGAGAACCCCCTTCCACCAGCTTCGCAGACGACAACGTGTACCACTCCAAAGCTGCTTACATGAATGACGAGGTCTTCTACGACACGTCTGCTGCGGACATCATTTACAAGGCCAGCGACGAGTACGTCCACTTTCAGTTCCTTGCACCATTGACTTACTCCGCACCGAGCAAAATCATGATCTGCTTCTCGAAATTTGTTAGAGTTTTGCTGAGTGCTCGCAGATGGCTGCCCTGCAATTGCGCTCTGTTTTCTGATGGGCATGGTTTGTTCGTTGCGTGAATTTGTGACAGTGGTTTGAGCCTCGCCACCGCTGACTTAAATGCTACGGACGCGGATGACATGCTCGCCTCTTTAGCGAAGGCCATGGGCGGGTGCGGTACTGGCAACCCGATCGACGACTGCTGGAGGTGCGACCCGAACTGGCGCAGCCACCGCCAGGCACTGTCCAATTGCGCCACCGGATTCGGAAGAAATGCCATCGGCGGCAAGAATGGACCCATCTACACCGTCACCAACAATGGAGATGATGCGAAGAACCCTCAGCCGGGAACACTGCGCTACGGAGTGACTCGAAACGGACCGCTTTGGATCATTTTCGCCAAGAGTATGACCATCCAACTGAAAGGAGAGCTCTTCATCTCCGCCTACAAGACCGTCGACGGTCGTGGCGCCGAAGTCCACATTGTCGGAGGCTCGCAGATCAGCATCCTTCGCACCAACAACGTCATCCTGCACGGCCTGCACATTCACGACATTCGACCATCGGGACCAACCACCATTCGAGTGTCCCCGTCTAAAGTAATCCGCCGCAACAAATCCGAGGGCGATGGCCTTCACATCTGGGGGTCCCGGGACGTGTGGATCGACCACTGCTACTTGGCCAAGGCGACCGATGGGCTCATCGATGTCACCCGCGGATCCACCATGGTCACAATTTCCAACTGCTTCCTGGAACAGCATGACAAGGTAATGAATCACTCCGAAGCAATGTCCTGACAGGACCTTGCCTGCAGGGGTTAGTGCCCTGAAGGTTTAGTCGCCCTGTTTCTGAAAGTGTGCACACTCGTCTGGATTGCAGACGATGCTGCTTGGAGCGGACCCCGACCATACCGAGGACAGGAACATGCGGGTCACCGTGGCTTTCAACAAATTCGGACCCGGCCTCGTCCAACGGTTGCCAAGGTACGACACTGCGCGTTGATTGGCGATGAAATGGTGTCTGCTACTAGTAAACACACATGCCCCCGCTGGTCACTTTCCTGTAAATATGAGGAAGTTGAGTAACTGGTGTGTGTTTGGAACGCAGGTGCCGGTTCGGCGTGTTTCATGTTTTGAACAATGACTACTCAGCCGGATGGGGGAAGTACGCGATTGGGGGCAGCGAAGATCCCACCATTCTCAGCCAAGGCAACCGATTCAATCCCGCCGGAAAGAAAGAGGTATCCACTATGTCTTGGCCAGTTGAGGATTAGCGGCAGCTTTGTTTTACAATGCGAGCCGTCCGTCACAGAGTGTGTCATGTCGTCTAACCTGATTATCCTGGAATTGCAGGTAACCCAACGCATCAACGACGGCGGATCCAGTTACGGAGGCTGGCAGAGATGGAATTGGGCATCCAGCGGCGACATTTTCCTGGGAGGGTCGTATTTCACGGGCTCCGGAGCCAGGGCCACCTCCGCCAGCGTCTACGCCAAGGCTTACAGCACATCGTCACGCCCCGCTCACATGGTACCCGCCATCACCAGAAGCGCAGGTCCTCTCAAGTTGTAGATGCGATCAACAACGACTTCCTTGTACGATGAGCACCACGAGGTGTGTGGTGACCCGCTTGTACCATTTAACCCAGTTTTTCCCTCAAACGGACATGCAGAGGCTGCGCTTGTAAGCAGCCCGGAGACGTCCATCTTGTAAGGTAATAGCATCGAATTGCGGCACACCCGGAGCACGGTGTTCAGTGCAGATGTGTTCGTGGGTGTGCTGCAGAAAACACTGACTTAATTAGAGTGTTTCTTCTTCTTCTTCTTCTTCTTCTTCTTCGTGTCTCGTCGTACAACATCGAAATGTGCAACCTCCTCGAGCAAGCTTCCTCGACAGCGGCTTGTGACGAGTGAAGCGTTGAAAGGTGTTTTGCTTTAGTAGACTACTGTGCAACCGCTACCACAAGTTGTAGTAGACGAGTTGGAAGTTTGCGATCTCGTGTTTATGAGCGTAGATAAGATGCTAGTAAGTCTGTAGTTATGTTGATCGACCGCTAGCCCGGAGGAATGTATGGTGCTGGAGTGTGATGAGTTGGTATTGTCATGTCCATCGACCTCACAGAAGCCCCTTCCTGGCGCAGCAGAGTTGGCTCTGAGATTACTGTAAGACGTAGTGAAAGCATCATCGTCATCTTGTGAGTTCAACATTTGCCTTGTCTTTGTTTGGCTTGGCCAGTGCTGAAACAATCGTGCAAGATTATGGCTATGGTTTTCGCTGAATAAAGTGAAGTGACTTCACATTTCATTGCTTGCCACTCCCCCACATGAACCATTTTAGATGCATATTTATATATATATATATATATTTCATGCTTTTGATGTCACCCTACGCTTCTTCCGACGTTTCTTTTGCCATTTGATTGAAATTGTGATGATATAGATGTAGTGTTCAGGTAGGACGATGACTTCCAAAGTGGCACTCATTGAAATGTATTTGAGCCTCCTTCTCATGACTTGGGGTGGAATTCTGTGAGGAGACATATTTGTCTATTTATTTCATGGTTCATGATGTGATCAAATTTTCTAGCAATTGTTGGAGCACCAGAATAGGAAGCTGATTTCACTTTGTGAAGCAAGTTGTTTGTGTTTCTACATGTCAATCGTTTGTGTTAATCTTGAGTTTTGGAATTATAATAATCAAAAAGTTCAAACTTATAATTTTTATAGTCCTCTTGAGAAAAGTTGAAATGAAGTAAAGAAGATTTTAGTATTTTAGTCAAGGAATAAGAGACTTTTTGGTGATGTGCATTAAGCCTACGGGATTCTTCATATAATCTTATAGAGTACAACCAATTCAACTCATCAATTCAAGTATTATAGAAGTACAATCAATACTTTTATTTTTATAAACTAAATCATTTCAAAAAATACAACAAATATAATTTAAAAATTATATTACTTCAAAAAATAAGTTTTTATGAACTTTTGTGCATTAGAAATTTAATCACAAGTTAAAGTAAATGCCAAATTTAATGATTTACTATTTGAGCTGTTCAATAACATTACTATTTGGCCACAAAATAATAATAATAATAATAGTAAATTATTTTAGAATATAGAAAAATAAAAATTTTAATATAAAGTGGAGAAATTTATCAAAGTATTATTTAATTTAAATTACTTTAAAAATTCAATCTAATTTTTTAGTGTAATTAAATCAATAAAAAATTAATTATTAATATGTCTAAATTTCAATTTTATCTAAAAACATTAATGTCAAATATTGGCCTAAAGGTTGTTGTAGATTACGTTCTTTAAAAATATAAGATATTAAATATTTTTTATACTTGAATATGAACATCTTTTACAGATATTTTAAAATTAAACAGATATAATTTTTTATTTATAGTAATTTTTATTTATATTAATTTTTATTTATATTAAATTTTTTATAAATATATGTGAGCTTTGAATCTTATTTTTGTAACCACTATTTTGAAACTTATTCTTATGTTTTATTTATGAATTTGAATTAATTATTTAAATATTTTTTTAATTATTATAATTTTATTTTATTTTTTTATTATCTTTGAGATGATTTATGGATATTCTAAGTCAAAAATATTAGCCAATATCAAGATGGAATGACTACCTATGAATTTTGTTTGTATTAATGTCTTTGTAAGTGCCTTCAAAAATAAATTTACTGTTTTTTTAGCATAGCATTTATTCAATAAAGATCACAAAATAAATGGCTTAATTAATGGTATGTTGGTGTGGTCTCTAAATTGTAATTCTACAAAAATAAGACTTTGTAATTAGTTTTACAATGTTTTTAAAATTAAGATGTAAAATAATTTTTATTTTTATTTGTTTGATTATAAAAATTATATAACAATAGTGATAGTTTGATTAGGATAGATGCTTATATATATTACAATTTATAAGTAATTTTTTTTATTGTTTCAATATGTTTTTATTAATAATACATTCCTTCAAATATTATAAGTTTTGATCTATGATAATTCATCTTTAAATTAAATAATTTTTCTACCACATATTTTTTAGAACCGTTAATTTTTATGAAAGAAAATAGTGGTGTGTTTTTATCTTTCATTTAATTTTAAGATTTTATAATATTCTAAAAGAAATATTTTAAAATGTATACTATTATGGATGTTAATATTTTTAAATATTAGATTGTAAGATTGATTTTCCATTGCAACCAACATCAAAAATAATTCGTCATAAAAATATAGAGATGGAATGACTTTTTTTGAAGCTATTCTATTATTGGAGATTCTTTGTTTTAGAAATCAATATTGAAATATAGTCTAATCTAATAATGAACTATAAATTATATTTTTAAAATATTTACAAAATAACTGGTACAAGTTTGAAAGATTTGTCAACCAAGTATAATTTTTTTATTATATTCCAAGTGCTAAATTATCTAAATTTATGGTTTTAAGTAAACTTTTATGTAACAATATTTAGTAGAATTGCTAAATTTTATTTTTAATTATTTTTGAAATAATATATATATATATATATATATATATATATATATTAATAAGTTAGATATGTTTTCAACAAAATTTTATTTGTATATAGAAAATACAATGTAATTCATGCAATAACTTATAAGATTAAAATCTTGTTACAAAAGAAGTATTTTTTTCTTAGATACATTTGATAATTTTAATTAGTAATCAATATTTAATCAAATAATATTTTATTTATTAATCAAATGTTTTAGAAATCATATTGTGATGTGAAGAGATTTCTACTAAAACACTTGATCTTGTATTAATAAATTGAACATTTGATTTTTTTATCAAAAATAATAATAATTTTTTTGAATTTCAAAACTATCCTAGTAGAAATAATTGTGCCTAGTCATAAAAGTATAATAGTGTGTGATATTATTCAATTTATAATTAAACTTATTATTTAGGATTTATTGTATTTATCCTTAAATACTAGAAAATTCTTCAAATAGATTAGATATCTTATAATTTTAAATTTTTTCTTCATATGCTTTCAATAATATCAAAACAAGGAAATAATATTTTGGGATAAAAAATCTAAATAATGCTCTTATAGTCTATTGGAAAGCTGATTGGTATAGAAGAGCTATATCTTGTTGATTGTTATAGTTTCACTTACTTACCTTACAATTTTTTCTCTTTACCAAGTTGCATATTTTGAGTGGTTTAAAAATGTTTGTTGTGAGAAAAGATTTTTGGAAGGTGTTCCAAATAAAATTAGAGTTTCACAACCTCATTGCCTTAATTAGTTTGGAACATTTGAGTTTCTATGATGGTTCTTTCAAAGTGTTGTTTGCAACTGGATTGTTGATGACACCAAAGAGGCTCTAGATATTAGAGTTGAGAAAATATCGACATCTTAAATAGTTTCCAAAGTTGAGGCCTAATAATTAGGGACACTTGGAATGCCTTAAGCTTCACTACAGGGGATTCATTTCTCTTCTGAAGTCCTTTAGGTCATTTCTACTTTTACAAATTTTTATTGTATGTTGTGTAATATTGGCCTTCCTTCTAGTTTCTGAATCATCTACCAATTTTGGTGATTTGAGATTTATTGGTTGTTATGCATTGTAAGTTCTACTAACTTCTTTTAGTAAGAAAGATTATTTGAAATAAAATGAGATTGTAAAGCTTCTATTCTTGTGGAACTGGAGCAAGCAATTTATAACAAATGATGGTATTGAAACAATAGTAATAATAGATGATTTATAAGATGAAATTTATTTATTAGATTTATATACTATATTCTATAAATTCCTATACATCATGAAAAAAATTATAATTTTCTTGTTCATTAATATATAAAATTCAAAAAAAAAAAACTTAAAATTAAATATTTTTTTATATATTTTATAATAATTTTTTTATCATATAAGATTAAAAAGAAGACCTAAAAATTAATTTTTTTACTATTTTTACCTTTTATGATTTTTAAAAATCTTATTTTTATTATCTAATAAAATATTTGATTATAATATTGCCAATATGTAATTCAAACCTCTTAATATCAAAGAAAATGAAGAATTAAATAGATATATGCATATACTTTAAGTTAATTTATTAAATTAATTTTCTCTTCTTTGTTTTATAAGTTGTATTCTTTGATTGATAGCCATCTAACAAAGTTGTCTTAATTTATAAGTTTTTTATACTTTGATGCTTATTATTTATTTGATAGTATAATACTATATCATATTTATGTATTTATAATGGATGCCTATATTATTTAAATAAATAGAAGTAAGTAGAAGTAAGTAGAATTGTATTAGAAATATATTATTTTCTTTAAGAAGTTTTAAAGAAGTTTCTTAGAGACAAACCAAATATTTAGACTTTTTTAGATATACCACGTTACTTTTAAAACTTGTTCCATAAGTTTTTTTACTTTTAAGAAGTTACATTAGAATAAATCCATAACTAGACACTCATGCTATAAGCCTTGCAATTCCTTGAAAGCTTCCATAAGTCAAATTTTGTACCTAGTATATATTGAAGCAAGATTAATGGCATTTTCAGTCTTGTCAACACCTTTCTTGTATTCTAGTCTTGGTTCAAGACTCTCTAGTCTATTTATATTTGACAATGGTCATTTTAGTTATTTTTTTTATCTTATAAAAATCTCATTTTTTTATCTTTTTTTCTTCTTTAATATTATATGAATGTATTACCTTTTGGATTTTATTTGGATTTATGTCCTTAATAATTTGATATAACTATTTACTTGTTATAGTTGTTTTATTTAATAAATAAGTAGATTATCCTATTTTTAAATAAAAAAGTATATTTTTAATGTTTGTAGATTAATTATTTTAAAATTTATTTTTTTTACTTTAAATATTTTTTAAAGATAATAGACTATTTTTTTGTGAAAATTTCTATTTAGTTTTAGAGATTGCAAATCATTTTCTTCAAATTTGACTTATATGTTTCTTATTGTTGTCTAATATTTAGATGGAGGAAAAATAAACTATGGATGCTACACTTGATAGAAGTGAGAATAGATTTGCAAGTGTTAGAGATCTTTTTAAGTTTTCTAATATTCACTAAGGAAAAATATAAAATGGTAGCAATTTTAATTACAAGAGAATTTTTGCTATGTCTATAGAAGAAGTTAATAATGGAGTTTACTATTTTCACCTAGTTGTTGTACAATCAAGAGAAACGAGTACAAGTATATCATTTTTACAAATCCTTCCTAAAAGTCTTGCTACTATAATTATAAAGGTGCCATAGGTGAGTATATTAGAGAAGTTTGAAGGAACAAGATCAAAATTTCAAAGATTTCTACAATAAGTTAAGCTCTTTTTAAGCTTATATCTTTCTTGATGCCTTCACAAAATCATTCAAGTATGACTTATTGGTACACTTCTATTTAAAAGTTCTATTTCTTGGTTTGTATCTTTGATGGAAAAAGAGTCATGACTTTTGTATGATCTAAATTCATTTTTAAAGTCTTTATGGCTACATTCAAAGAGAGAAATTTAAAAAATAGTAGCAAAAACAAAGTTTTAGACTTTGCAACAATGATTATGTTTAGTTGCTATCAATATTGTCAAATTCCAACAACTTGCTTGCAATGTGGATTGGAACAATAAGACTCCTATCAAGCAATTTTAATATGGTTTAAAATATAATATCAAATATCTATTTTTGACAATTTAAAAAGCAAATTTGTTAGAACAATTTATTACTCAAGCAATTGTATGCAATAATCAATTCTTTAAAAGGTACTAAAAAAAGACTTGATTGAAGAAGAATAAATTAATTAATTAAAAAAATTCCAAAGTTTTAAAAAAACTACTCATATATGCTAAAAATATTATAAAAAAAGATAAAACATGGTTTAATTGAAATTATTTTTTAATAATTTTGATGTGTATATTATTAATTGAAAAGTAAAATAATTATAAGAAGTATTAAGTATGAATAAAAACCATAATTTTGGAATAAAATTTTCCAATCTTAACATTGCAATTCATTTCTTTGACATCAATTTTTATATTAAGTTAATTACAAAAAAATAAATAAATAAATAAAATTGAATAGCAATTAGTAATGTGGTGAATTTTATATTTTTACAAAGAATAAAAAAAACGTGCGCAAAAATAAAATTACTTTACTGAAATTTTGGAAGAAGAGGTTCTATTAGTGATGGAGTATGCAGACAAGAGGAAATATTTTAAAATAGTAATAAAGTAAAAAACAATAAAAAAATAAATAAAAATAAAAAAATGATGTGAAAAATCCATGAACACACAGGATTCGAAATAAATAACTAATTAATTAATTAAGTACTCAATCAATAAAGTAATGAATTTATCTTCGAATATTGAAGCTTATCAAGTATTGATTAAGCACAAAGTCATCACGTGAACTGACGATTAAGAACCTCAATGAGAACCAAAGCGGGCTACCTGCCGATGGGAACGGCCCCCGGGGAGCGAGGTTCCCGACAGAGTTCCCATGGCAGGCGCGCTTATGTTACAACGAAACCCTAATGGGAGGCCCTCTTTGGTTTCTCGCCCTCGCCATCGTCGTCGTCGTTAAGCCAAGCTTCTTCTGCGGCGGAGCTTCGCACTTTGCAGCCATGGTGGAACGCAAGGGAGAGCGCATCAGGTAGCCCCTCCTTCCACTTCCACTTGTGCCCCCTAAACTGCATCTTCTCATGGTGGCCTTCGTGAAAAAGAAAAAAAAAGAAAAAAACGGGGCAAAAAACAGAGTTCTGAGCTCGCCACAGAACGACATGGTACAGTTCTGCAAGCCTTTGTTCGTTTAGACGGACGCATTGCTGTGGTTTCTAGCTGGAATTCGCTGGAGAGGCTTCCACTTGCGAGTTTCTTCATCATTGAGTTGGGGGAAACTGTGAGCTCCGCTTGGATGATTGGATTTCCGCTTTCTCTTGACTTTTTTTATGAGCAGTTGGAATTGGTGTTTGTTTTGTGGCAGGTTGTATGTTCGGGGTACCATCCTCGGTTACAAGAGGTTGTGCATCACTCCTAGTTCCTTATTTTGCTTGTTGCTGTGGCTGGGATTGGTTCTTGTGGAACAAGCTTGGCGACTTTTTTAAATATATTTAGGTTTAGGGCATGTAATTTTCCGCCTGCTGATTGCTTATGTTTCATTGTGATCTGTTATATGTTTGGATATGGCTTTAATGATTGTTATTTAGAGTAATAAAAATTATGGCAATTCGTTGTGTTTTTTTTCCCCGGTTTCTTTTTATTCTATTGTAACTGGGAGCTGATTTTTCGAGAACTTTCGGTTTCGCGGTTTTTTAGTAGTTCATTTCTGGTGATGCAGGTCGAAATCGAACCAGTACCCCAGCACCTCGCTCCTCCAGATCGAAGGTGTGAACACATCTGAGGAAGTTAACTGGTACCTTGGAAAGAGGTTGGCTTACGTTTACAAGGCCAAGACCAAGAAGAATGGATCCCAGTTCCGTGTTATTTGGGGCAAGGTGGCCCGCGCCCACGGTAGCAGTGGCGTTGTCCGCGCCAGATTCAGGAGCAACCTCCCTCCCTCGTCTCTGGTATGTTGGTTGCTGCTCTGCATTCTAGCACCTCCTCTTGTATCCATCCAATGGAATGCTTCCATCACTCTGAATTTCAACCTACCTGGTGAATCTACCCTGCTCACAACTCATGCATTCTGTTACTTGGTTGTAATCGCAGGGCGGCAGAGTCAGAGTGTTCATGTATCCCAGCCGCATCTAAACTGGTAAGGCACCCGTGGGGTTTTAATGGATTTAAATTCCCTGCCCTATGATGTTTCTTCCAATCGCTGTTTCTCTTCTTTTCTTTTTTTCTTTTTTTCTTTCCTCCTCGCTACCTGCGCTATTCAACATAGGCATACGAGAGATGCCCTTGTAATGCATCATGCGTCTCCATTAGCAGGTTACCCTGTCAGATTATCTCAGTTGATTAACTAGGCATAGTCGTAGTTAGTACCCCTGAGTATGCTCAATTACATTATGTTGTTCTGATGATAGTTAATGTGTGTGCAGGAGCCTAAGGATTGAAAGTTTTGAACGAATTTCTGGAACACCTCTTTGTAGAATCAAATTTTCTGGAACTTTGGAGGATTCAATGATGGCAGTGAGTGTGAGAATGTTACTGCTTCCTTTTGAAAGGAGTTCAATTCTTTCACATTTGCACCAGACTGGATCTTTCCTGAATTGTTTTTTTTCTCTTTTTTTGGTCTTATTGCATTGACGGGCATGACATTAGATGTTTATCAAATGATTGTCATCGATGGTTGATCATCTCATCTTGTATGTATAATGCTACTTAGTAATCGCACCCATTTGTGTGCACAAAGAATCATGAATCCGGTTTTATTAAGGAAACGTGGACTCTCAGTACTTCTGCAAACTTTCGTATTTTGCAGCAGCAATTCGCAGCATCCATATTCGCACTTTTCTATGACATGGGTTCAACTCACTCTCGAGTACATCAATCCGAGAATTTTTGTTATTGTAACCTTATCTCCCCGCTGCGCATCCAAGCAGTCAGGGCCCAGCTACGTAATTCAGCCACCCGTGCACAGCATAGTTTTGATCAAAACAATTCGGGAACTGATCAAAACTGCACCCCGAGAAATGAAGTACTGAACATCTAGTGTGCTTATCACGCAGAACGTAAGCCAAATCCGCCTGGCATACCCTTCCCGCAAATCCTGAATCTAGACTCACTTCCCGCATCACCATGTCCACACATGCGGAGACATCCCAAGTGGTGCTAATTCGGGCGTAGAGCGGGGTCTGATGCCAATAGCATTGAGTGCACACCCAAGCTACATACAAGGCAGTCTGCTCCTCAAAATCACCATTTTAGTAAAGTAGAGCCGGGTCTGATGCCAATAGCATTGAGTGCACACCCAAGCTACATACAAGGCAGTCTGCTCCTCAAAATCACCATTTCAGTAAACTGAAACCGGCTTTGAGGGCAGCTAGGACTGAATTCGTCGATAAGAGCTGCAGATACATCGATTAGGTCAAGACGTTTGAATTTGAAGGAAGGGGCTTTCATAACCAGAATTCTGGAACGTTGTCTGACCCGGCAGCTGAAAATGGTGGGCGCGTCGTCGCCCATTCGTCCTTGTAGGTGAAACCCAATTCAGCTTCGCATTTGCTGGCTCAACGGTTCGTTCCATTTTTGAGATTGTAACCCTGGTTTTGCTGATGAATCATATATCACTGTTCCATGCAATTGTCCACCTACTTTCTTCGAATGCAAATCATTTGAAATGGGTTGCAGAGCATGAATTCTTTTCATTTTCGTGATTAAGTGTAGACCAGGTCTTGCAGAGGATGGGTTACATTCGTCCATTGAATAAGGAAGAGGTTCCTTATTTGAAAGGTCCATGACGAGTCAATTCTGGGCGTTTGTAGTATTTACGAAAAAACAACAAGAATACCCGCTTTGACAAGGAAAAGGACGTGCAACATCTTAAAAGTGTAGTCGGTGACAAGGCGTTGTAGAGGACAAATTCGCTGCACAAGTACCATTGGCCAGTCAGATTCCACTCCGACCTCACCCTACACAACAGATGGGATTTTTGCTCAATATATGTACTTCTTTCTAATATTTTTGAAGTAATGCAGAAATATATTCATGTCTGAGTTATCTTATTTTCTTCAGAAATGCACCATGTCATCCCTAAGCAGTAAACCATCCTTTGGCAGTAATCTATTTGTGAGTAACGGTTATACTAATCTGCTATGAATCACAAATTGATGTGGGGTTGGGTTTAGCTATTCTCTTAATTTATAGAACACGATGCCCTCTCTGTTTATTCTATTATTGTGGCTTGTGAACAGCCAATACTTGGCTGTTCTCATCAAGTTAGGACATGAGATCCTTCAGTGTTTCAATGCTAGGAATTTGGTAGTGGTGCCACAAGGAGGTAACAATGGCTCGGTTAAAGGTAGTGTCCCAATTTGTGACAAGGTAATCTCGTTGCACAAATCGGCCTTCATAGGTCTGTCCGTAGAGCTCTTTATTTTGCCGCTCATTGAACTTTTTTCTTGCCTTTCTAGTGGTCATCGTCTTCATTATTCGTTTGTTGGAAATTGTTTATTGTCACGTTATTATGAACCCTGGAGCAATGGTTTAGATCATTTCATTCTGCGGGGTGCCCTTTTCAGATTCCATAGTTGATTCTGGAAGATTTCAATAGGACAGACTGCCTCGGTTCTGCAACAATGAGTGCTGATACGCTACAGCTGTGGCCTTGATTCTTGATGCAGGTCAGTGGAATCATGGCATGTGAAGCTGGCTGCATTTTGATTGATCTGGTTACTCTTTTTTTGGGACTGACAACTATTTTGTAAGAACTATTCACTTCACACATTTTAGTTCCGTTTTGCTAAACAGAATTGCAACTACTTATGTTCTTCCGCTATTAAAGCCTATTCCTATTATATCACTTTAATGACGGCTCAATGCACCTCTCAAATGTCTCGTGAATTCAGACATTGTGCATTTTGATTTTTTAAGTTACACGATACCAGTGGACCTGAGTGCCAAAGGGAGCTGTCAGATTGGAGGCAACATGCGTTGGCTTACGAATTTTGTGATATGGTTTGCTTCAAGTGTGCTCAGTAATGTTTGTTGCTTCTATTCGCATGTTGCTATTCTTGGTGCATGGCTGATTCGGTTCATCACTAAAAGTGAGAACGTAACCTTGAACATCACATCGTGCTGCAGTTTCCGTGTACATGTTAGTTCGTCCTTTTCCGTGAGGGGGTTGGTGCGATTTGATGTTGTCATTTTCAGGACAAGTTAATGAGGATTTTTTTGGTTTTGCTGAGCATGTTGTGAATTATCTATGACTATTACATAATGAGAGGCAGCTGAGTTGGAACAGGCCTTCACAAATTTTGAAAGACCCTTGGTTCAAGAAATTTTCATCTGGACTTACGCGTGAGTTATAAACACACGTCTTTGGAAAAAAACCAAAATTGACAGGGCTTGAAATTGTACCTGCAGACGAGACAGTTGGGGATATGCTAGGGGTACCGATAAAAGGCGATTCCAGATATGATTTAAAATACATTTTGATTGGTAAGTTATGGTCTCATCATTGAACTCTAAACCTGGCCTTCTTATGCACTTTCTCGTTTTACAAACGGAGTTTATGTTCGATTAGCAATGCAATCGTTGAAGGAACTTTGGGGCTGGTGGCCATAGTGAGTTTTTAGTGCCTACGAATCTCAGGTCGGTCAACGCAGCGTTCTTTGCATGTGAGGATTACGTGAGCTGCCTTGAGTCAACTTCAAGACTGTTAACGGTTCCGAGCAAGACCTGAACGTTCTTCTGCCGACCCTTTTTAATTATTGCTCCTGCCCCCAAATTGTTGGAGGAAGAAAAAGTTAAAATTGCGCAAAATCCTGTCTGCCTTTGAGATCGTAGATCTGTAATCAACATACAGACTTGTGTATTGTGCTTAATGACTAAACGATTCACAATGTGGTTTGTATCAACTTCTGAGAATGAGCATTCGATGTTGGGTATTGCAATCGCAGATTAGTCTTACGGAGAAATTTAACACTCTACTCGAGCCCAACGGTAGCCTGAACCCTTACAAAGTGCTTCCTAGGTACTAAAAACTCACCATGGCCACCAGCCCCTAAATTTTGCAGCATCTCGGTTTGCACAGGCTGCGAAAGTATTCTGACATGGAACTTGAATGTGATAAGCATCACTCATCGATGTCGATCAATGATGCACTTTTGACCTGAGGATTGGAGAATATGATTCTACAGCAGCAGCACAAAGTATTGTGCAAGAGTTCTGTGGAAGCCCACTGCTGGTTTAATTTCTCTTTTCATGTTTGACTTACATGTACATTATATGCATGCAGATACTGCAACCTTCGCAGCATCGCCCTTCATAAGCGACAAAATGACTTTGCCTTTATGAAAGTTGCAGCTCTTCATTTACAAGAATAAACGTACCAGAGAGGAGACTGAACATGTCGAGATTTTCCAGGACCTGAATTCTTTTTGTGTACAAGTTTACAAGTTCACAGTAAATATGTGTTTAGGTTCCTGCACCTCCATTGACAACATACTGAAAAAATAAACAGCACCAGAAATAAGGATCATCCAAAACCACATACTGTGCATCCATAGCCGCGCGCGTTTATCATCCATGAACCCCCCCCCACCAGCCGGCATGAGCCCGGGTCACCCGTGATTCCATGGGCCCGGCCCGATCCTTTCCGCGTCCCGGGACCCGGTCCCTGGCGGCGGATGAGCACCGCCATGGTAGGGGTGACTGGGCCGTAATGTCCGGCTCGCCAATTCTTACGGTGTGAAAACGGTCCATCCCTCCCGAACCACATCTGCATGGCGCGTTCACACCTGCGCATCCATCTGGTTTTTTTCGCAACTGTCCAAACTTGCTAAAATCCTGTTTTTTCTTTTTTCTTTTTTCTGTTTTAGCCACAATTCATTCAGACTAGATCATCCTCTGGGTCATGAGTTTGACTCCAAGTATGACTTGAGTGTGTCATTTCTAGGTCAAAGTTTTAAAATTGTGTATCAGAGAACTAAATTTTCGGCAATATCATGGAAGAAAATGCTGCCAAGATCACATAATTGCTGTGGATACAGATCGTTGTTCTCTTCGACTTGTAACTGGGCAACATTGATATATATGTATGTATGTATGTATGTATGTATGTATGTATATCTATAGTACTGTGTGTTTGTGTGGGTGAGTTGGAAGCCTTTGCTCTCGTCCCTGTCGCAACATAACATATACTATTCCACAGTAAAGACACAAATTCTCGTGGGGAATAGAAAAGAAAAGAGTGTGCAAATATAGAGAAAATAACGGCGCTCTCCGGCTCATTTTTTCACAAAGCTATGTTCTTTTGTTTTTGTTTTTTGTTTTTTCTTTTACCTTGCTGGTTGTGCATCGGGTGCAGCGCCAGAAGGAAAAACAGCGTTGTGGTGAGAGACACAGACCAGGAGAGAACCATAGCTTGAGGCGTGAGCTCACCTTGTCCGGCACGCAAAGCGTTTGATTTACTGTTGTTTTTCTTACTTCTTTTTCACATTGACACTTTCGAGGCTGTGCTGCTGCCTCAGCTTCAGGAAAGCAGAACTCTGGGAGTGATACCTGGTTGCATCGATCAACGCAATCAGGCCCAAGAGGTGGATGATGATGCAGCAACAGCAGCAGCTAGAACCCACAAGCGGGACTGGAATCATCTGAAGCCAGCTGATGTGGAGCCCGGGATTGCGACACGATGGCTCAGGAGTGGAACTGTCAAACTGGAGGAGAATAAGAAGAATTAGGGAGACGTAACGAAGTAGAACTAAATATAAACATATATGGTACTGCCGTGAATGGGCTAGGCTCCGGAAGGCGAGGCTCAGGAGTAGGACCAGGAGCTTCTCCGCGCTGCCTGCCTCCCCGCTGCGCATCCCCCTCGCTGCTCTTTCTGCTGCCTTTGCCCCCTTTCCAGCCCCCCTCTGATTTCCTGCGTGCTTGCTACAGGCTGCTGCTGCTTTATTTTCCTCCCTCCCTCCCTCCCTACTGGAGCCATTAGTTTCGTCTTGTTGGCGTGTTTGTGTCCAACTGGTGACTGCCGTAGGCACGGAAGGGAACGGAACGACAGTTTTCTTGGTGTTACAAAGCTTGAGTTCGACGACACGCTCTGGCGTACTTTGTTGGGTTCCGTTGGCATTGTGATCGCCTGCTCTGGTATGTAGAGCGCGACACAGAGAGCCAATACTGCCTTCGCGACTTCCATCAGCCAATCGGTCGTTAGCTGGTACGCTCTCTCGATCGTGTTCTAGCTGGATCTTCGCTGCGAGGTTGCGACCAGTACGATGTTGTTTGCAATGTATTATTTATTTCTGTGAGGCATGCGCTTGGATCTCATTCTTCGATAACTGAGGAGCAGCCAGGGGAGAGATCCGGAACCTCGGGTGTTGTTGGGTTGTGTTTTGGTTGATCTCTCTCTTGCGTCACATGTACCGTTTAGATCAGGTGAAAAGAGGTTTTTCGATACGCGATGAAGAGATCTGTATGCTGGATTCAGTGCCTGCTGCGAACCGATTTTTGACGTTTGTTCTCAAGGTTTTTTTTCCTAAGCATGACGTGCTCAACGTTTACTTCCGCGCGAGATTCAAGTCACAGGGTGACAATCTCAGGCTACTGTTTGCGCTTGTGCACTGTTTTTGCGTTCGACACTGCTGCTGCTACAGCGCATGGTATACGTAATCTTACAAAGTTGCCAGTACCCTTGTGCGAGCGATGACCGTTTTTGTGCCGTGTAACTCGACTAGAATGGATTCACTGCCAAGTATCAGTTATACTACCGTATATACCTCGTGAGGGCACTAGTTTTGGGAATGCTTTATTGGATTGTGATAGTCAGGTAGAAACTCCCCAAAACGAAATACGTACGAAGAAAACAACAGCTCTTCTTGGTCTCCTCATATGTTCACTACTCCCATGATATCTTTTTGTTTTATGACTCGTAATGCACTTACTTCAGCGTTAGTGAGCCAAATGTGCATTCACGGTATTCATTTGCTTCGCTTGTAAGCATCAGAGTTCTTCTTGTCTTAGGGCCGTCGTATAGAATGTTTCTTTTCCAGCTGAAGACTTCATTCGGAGCGGATAATATCCTCTGTCCCAGGCGGTTTATTGTGGCCTAACTTAAAGCCGTATTTTTCTATAAAATTTTAGTTCTTCAGTCGAAGCTACATTCATATCAGCCGTTGTGAGTAAGATTTGGATAAACTCGAGAGGTACTGCGTTTATTTGCAACGAAGATGGGTTTCCTTAACGCTACTTCACACTCTACGCTAGTGACGACCTCAGAGTAGGTAGTTGCAATGAAAAGAAATGTGATAAATCAATCGGCGAGTGAGCGAGGTTGAAAAAAGTAGTTTTGACTCAGTATCCTATGCTTGAAAAACCCTCTCCACAGATTCTCACTGTAAGATTGGATACCTTCTGTAATACAGTCATGGTGATCGAGACGGGGCTTCAAGCCACTTCCCGGAAGTCGGGAGAACTGGTGCGGCTGAAGGACCTGCAAGCTCTACCATTAGGTATGTCGCCAATATTCAAGCTACCGCAACCAGGAAAAGATGAGGACGACGATGGGAATGACTGCATCTCCCTCAAGAAATGGCAGCCCGATGAGATAGCGGCCCAATCTATAATTTCCAACGGCATGTCTTACAGTGCCTGGCGGCCGGTGAAGGAAAAGCAGTCAACTGCCTCTGTCAATGGGATTACCGTGGTCAGGGCCAGCGTCCGCAAACATCCGATAGGCTACGCCCCTCTCGTTGAAGCGAACGGGGATGTCAGCCTGCCACCCTCCATGAACGGAAACACCCACCCTAAGCAACTTTCCGAGAATGAGCCCAAGAGGATCGAACAAGACGAATGGCGTGAGACTGGGCACGGATATATAACTTCCGACGAAGACCCCGAAGATGAGCTCGAGGACCAAGTTGCCAACACTGTGAAGGAGCCAGAAGTGAAGGAGGAGCGCACGATAAGACCTCACCACCAACACAACATCAGTCTCGTGAACGGGATTGCCCCTCCACCGGCGCAAGCTGCGAACAGTGAGGGTATTGTCTTCGACATTAGTAGGCATGAGGATGGTATCAGCATCAGCCCTTCATCGCCTCGCTCGCCCCAGGGCGGCATTGCCTTCGACATTACCTTGGATGGCCATTACGATGACAGCTTGCCACGCCGGTCGACGGGGTCAAGCAGGGACAACGCGCGGCATGTATCTTTCGTTACCGGCCGCGAGTTGGAGCTCGATTTGCCCAGCCCTCCTCGATCCAAGGGCAAATCTCCCTATCGTTCTCGGAAAAACCACAGCAAAAGCCCTGTGAAGAGCAAACCAGGCTGGGATAGCTCGGCGAAGGTCGGAACCCCGCCACCGCCCATGCCGAAGAAATTTGTGCGACCCACGTTGCATGGTATTAAAGTGAAGAAGGGCCAAGGCGGTGTGGCGAAGACAGCAGCGAGAGCAACCATGACGTCCGCCGAAATCCATCAAGGCATCGCAATAATGGAGGGTCGCTCGCGGGATGTGCCTGTGGCCCGATCCTGGGACCCCCAGTACTGCGGCGGGGGCGAGTATGATTCTGTGTCGCAGCTGATCTCGAAATCGCTTGCCTCCGCAGCTGATGAGATTAAGGAAGATCCCCATGGATTTCACAATCGACAGTACATCCCACGAAGCAATGGTGGTCGCAAGCAAGATGACAACGGCGAGGTAATCTCTCGTGTTTGGTACCGCACCTCTGGTTTCGATTGGCACCAATAATTCACCTCCTCACGCTCTCTCGCAATTTCTAGAATGCTACAAAGTGTAAGAACAATCACTTCTGACTGTGGAAGGCCTTTGTAACCCGAGTTTACTTGTGGTTCCTGTTGTAGACCTTGAAGCTAGTGGGGTCCGAATCCAACAAGTTGACAGGAGAATTCGGGAGGTTCTTCAGCAAGCTACGGAGATCATCTGGTCCGGTGGCAAAGCCACCACCGAAGATAGATTCAAAAGCAGTGTCTCCGAGGGCGTCATCCAACCCCATAATCAGCAAAATCGCAAGAGGGAACTTAGACCCAGTGGACCATCCCAAATCCACCGCCAAGAAAAACCTTGCACCTGTTCATTCACTCGACGTGGCCAGTGCGAACCAAAAGATCGCAATCGGAAGCTACGCGTCCTTGAAGCTGCTGCAAGAGTGTGCAAAAACTGAGCAGATCCCTGCAACTCCTGCATGTAACGCGCACAAACCTCGGAAGATCAGGGATCACGAGCCTCATCGTCACTACTACAAGACTATCTCTAAAACCCTTGATTCAAAGTTAAAGTAAGTGATCAGTCAGTAATCACTGTTCAATTAACAAGCCTATTTGTCTGTAACTGATGGTGCTCAACTGGGTGCTGGTTTCATTGTGAGGTTTAGAATCCTCCCTCCGACATCACTCGGAAGTTGAAGTCTATAATCGCTCAGTTGACATTTGTGTACATATTCAAATTGGTAGCATTTACAAGCCCTAACGTGTTGCGACTCGTCATTGCTGTGTGCAGAAACTAGAGCGGCAGCGTCTTGTTGGTCACGACGCAGGATTGTGGATACCTCTACAGCCGAGGTTAGAAGTTTGGGTATCATCAGGATCGGAGTAGACTCATAGCAATGGCTAATCATCTACCAGGACGTAACGCAAAGAAGATAGTCCTATCAAGAGTCTGGGACTCTCTGTACATATCCTCCTGTTGTCAATGTTCCCTAGTGGTTGCTACATCGTGAACGCTGGATTCGTGTGGAGGTTGTTAACATGGAGAATACAAGCGAGGAGAACAACAGCTTTCGGAATCCATCTGCCGGTTGACGAGGGATGTGAACTTCAGGAGCGGGAGTTCTTAAAGACTAGGACTAGTGGCAAGCCAACATGCACTCGAAATTCAAGTAAGTTATCTGAACACTTCACGCTTGGTTCTGCGCAGCTTGGGCTTGACAATTCTAGGTTTCAGACTGATATGAACATAGTTTTCGTGTGCTTCAGTGCTGGTTACTGAGAGCTTGCAACCGTTGATCCTGTCAGCTCATGCATTTCTGCCTGAAATACACTTGTCTGGAGCTTCGCTGTTGAGCGACATAACCCCTCGAAACAGACTCCTCAGGAAATTTTGCTGGTGCCACGTTCTTTTCCCCATGGCTCTACCTTGCCTGCTCCTATAAACTAGTCCGCATAGTGTTATCTAGTCGCAGGACCATTCTCAGCAAGGATATATTTATTTTTAGTTTCTTCTTATTATTTTTTATTTAGTCTATTCTATGTTTGGTTCATGCTGAAAATGGTCCGCTACTCTTCAGCAGCGAAGGCAATCTCTGGATAGATACGAGAATATTTAGGTGGACTAAGTGACTTTGTATCGTAAGAGTTCATTCTTCGCTATGAAGTTCGTCGTAGATTTTCAACAACGTTGGTTGAGATGCGAGTCTTGGATGTATTATTTCTTCAGGAATGTATTATTTGTGAGTGATTATAGTTGTTCGTTGTGCAACGAACTTTGATTTCAACATTGATGTAAACTACTAAATGACGAAAGTGATACCTTTCCGTTTGAACACGTACCTACTCGTACCAATATGTACCAAACTTCCACAATAAAGTGAAAAGATAACTTGAAGCTCCAGACTAAAAACTATTGCGACATGCTGCATAAAATATGGAGTATCCCAAAACACTTAGCTTTCAGTTTCTTTATAACAATTTTGTTGCTTGCCACATATGCAGCGCAACTCATATTTTGTTCCACTTCATGGGTCGATGGAACACTCTCCAAACGGATTAGCACTAAACTTCATATTCTACTATCTACAATTGGATGTACGTGGGTAATTGTCATTCCCGACTGGGAAAATAAACTTCTATTTTCTAAATGAAAATTCTATTCATTAGTGTCAGAGTAACAAGCCACATTTACAGTAGCCTTCCCGACAACTTCTCACGTATAATGTCGCCGTCTCAGACAGGGGGATTATTGTCTTTTATATCAGACTGCTCCTCTTCTTCCAAGTCGTGGTCAGAGACTATTACTGTATTCTGTTTGTTTGGCGAAGGGACCTCCACATGATACTCAAATTTGTGCTCATCGAGTACTGTAGGCAACAAACTGCAGTATCAGTTCATAAACTGTACCGCAATTGTAACAAAGAAGCTCGATTACTACTTAAAAAGTAAGATCGCAGTTAGGAACAGAAGCCACAAGGTTAGTAACGAAGGTCAACAGAATCTGGTTTACATTCTAGAGTATAAATCTGATTTTGTGATCGACTAAAAACATTAAAAGACAGAACAAAACAAATCAAAACAAAACAAAGCGTATATCATCACAAATTTCAGTCACGATCCAAGCAGCCCAGAAAAACATGTCATTGCAGTATGTAGGCACCCAATAGCTACAACAGAATACACTGAAACATTCTCATCTATGCCGACCTCTTCAGAACTCTCACGAGTTCTAAAACTATACCTGATTCCCTCTTAACATGATTTGTCTAGACCAGATATCTGACATATTCCCTGCAAGAAACACTAAGCGAGACACAAGAACATGAATATAAAAATGTGTTTAGAAAGAGCTCTTCTTCGACCACGCAAACTAGAAGCTCAATTTCATCCCAACTCAACATAGAACGTTCCCATGGAACCAATGAAGATACTAAACCACCTACTAAAGCATACATCGTCAACTGAAGACGGATCAAAACACGTGATAAACAAATCTAGTGAATTTTCTCAAACGTCCGCATCGACTTCAGCCTCCTTGTCTTCAGTAACTGGCTGCACAATAGGCTCCTCAACAGGCACAGGTTGCATTTGCTCCTCCTCTGGAATTGGCTCCTCCAAGTAGTCATTCTCAAAGGAATCTGCCGGGACCTCATAGAGACGTACTTGAGGCTTGATGGGATCCTTCACCAACACATATTTTCCTTCGTCTAGCTTCATGCAAATGTCAATAACTGACTTGACAATACCCCACATGTTGTTCAAGTTCAAATTGATCTGCCCAGCAAATTCTTTTGGCTTGTAACCTTGTACACCCAAAATGACGTGATTGTAAGGATCTCTGGGGTGGAGACGAGAGACGTAACCAATCTTCATGACTTCTGCGCTTGCAAGTAAGGCTTGAGCAGTCCACTTTGCCACCTTGTTGTTGTTGTTCTTCAGCTCGGTAGCAAGAACTGCTCCCTTCTGAGTTTCCAGCTTTTGACGCCAGTCGACACCAGTAAATTTGGAGTCGAATTCGTTCAAAGCATTCAAGGTCATAAGTGTTCTCTGACCCTTCACTTCCATCAGACTTTGGACCTCACATCTTGCAACCAAAGAGATGTTCTCGTCCAGTTTCCATCGACGATACCTGTATGCTACAGAAGCGACCTCCTCTCCCTCGGAAGCAAAAGGGTTCGGCTCTTGGAAGTTGAACTTGTTTCCATCTTTGATAAGGATCTGTGCACAAGGCATAATAAGTAAAGCTAGAGAAGGACGACAAATTGTTCGTGAGCAATTAACTGTCAACAGGGATGATTAGTGTGAAAAGCGTTCTTACAGGCCGCCATCGTTGGTTGATAATTGGTGCTAGCCATCCATTTACACTACATAACCTGCATTGACATTTAGTATGGTGTGCTAAAATAGCAACCCATGTCCAAAAAACGAAAAGTACCTGCTGAGAGAAGTTCTGATTGATAACGGTAGCTTCCATGCTCAGGTTTTGAGCAGAATTGATATCGTCCTTGCCTTCGGGAAGGGATTCTTGAGCAGTCTCATTCACAGTCAGCAGATCCAGCTGTGAGCCATCTCGCTTGTCGAAGAAAAGCTTATTGCCCACTCTTTGCACCACAATATCCCAAGAGTAGACAGATCGAGGAGAGCACATAAGAGTTGACAGAATTGAGTCTGTAGCGAATACTGTGGCCATGTCTTCACTTGCTAAGCGTCGAATAACAGGATCATCAGTAGTGGTGACCTGAAACCAACAGAGGCAACGTCCGTAAGGAAAAGAACATCACCTAGGCATCTTCAGAGTTAATGGACAGAGTAAATTCCAATTGTACAGGTCGGAAACACTTTCACCATACTTAAGTTGTCCTAGCAACAATTCATCCGGAAAATGCAGAGCGAAAAGAGTATAATGACAACATTACGTGCGACCGCGAAGCTTTGAATGATATTGTCATACACGGCTTGCATACCTTAAAGAAGTTTCTGTTTTTGAACCTTTCAAGCCGTCTCTCGCTCTTAGGTGTCACACGGTCGTACGTCTTGTCGTAAAACTCAAGGGCTCCACAGAGCGCAAGATCCTCTGCCTCTCCAACAGAATAATTGAGCTTGGCAAAAGTTGAAAATGGAATTTGCTCAAGAATTGTCCAATCAGGTTGGATATCAACAGAACTTTTGAAAGTGGCCGTCTCCCTCCTTTGTAAGTTCCTGTTCTGGTTGTAAAACTTATCCCGCCGCAGTCTTTCTTTCTCAGCCTCTTTTCTTCTGGCATCTTCTTCGTCCTTCCGTTGCGGCAACTGCGGCTTCTGCTGGAAACGCCACCTGGGGCCAAACTTGGGACGTGCAGGAGGTTTCCCATCTACGAGTCGGAAAGATTCTTCGTCTTGCTCATCGAAGAAGTAATCAAAGACACCATCGCCACGGTTCTGATTGAAGCGGTTAGGAGGGTTGCGAGTCCAGTCAGAAGCACGGCCTAGGTGTGTACTCTTGATGAAAGGTGCATAGGGGACATTCTGAAGCTGGGATGGCAGGGTGGCATTTTCATCAGGAGGGCCCCATCCGTCGAGATTCTCGGCCACCTCGGGAACTCGTAATTGCGGTTGCTGAGGTGACATGGGTGCCAATGTAGGTCCCTGTTTTTAAAAAACTGTTTGCTAGCGTTAGCAACCAAAGAGGAGCATGGATTAAGCACTCTGTTACTTCGATATCGAATATGAAAAAATGAATCCCTTCATCCATGTATTGCATAACAGAAAATCATAAAATCCAACTTCATCTCTGTTGAAAACCATGCCTACAGCTACGACTACAACAAAATTGTCGCAAACTAAGAGTTCACCACGAAAGATAGAACTGAAACAGCCAAGCGTGTTATTCCACCCCGCGAAACCAACCACAAACCCAAACCCATAAAAAATTCTCACGACAGCGATTTCACACCGCTGAACAAGGGAAGCAGGAATCTGGGGGGGGGGGAGAGAGAGAGAGAGAGAGAGAGAGAGAGAGAGAAGAACACGAAAGGGAGAAGGACCCTGCGAATGCAAGGTCCAAACCCTAACCCAGCATGAATGGACTCAACCCACAAACCAACTCAATTCAAACACAAGCATCGCCGCTTCTAAGCTCATACTCCCACCACCACAAATCTCAATCCTTGGCGCAAAGTAGCAGTACTAATACAAATCCTGCTACTTCGTGACAGAGCAGTCTCCACCTCGTAACTCTGAAAATTCGTCAGAAGAAAAGCGGGGTCTCTGTGCGCATACCTGATCAAGGGGAAATACGCTCCGCCTCCAGGCCCGCGGCCCCTCACTCGTCGATTTGTAGACAACGCGGCGTGCCTCTAGAAGGGCGAGATCATGTGGAGATTGCCGATGGGGTGAGGGACGAGGAGGGAGAGATTGAGCGCGACGACGCAGACGCAATGGCTCAAGACTCGCGATGAGCTCACTCGCTCTCCGCCCCTCGACCTAACCTAGTTTCCGAACCCCAGGTTCGTCAGAACCGGACCCCGAGGCTCAGGTCTGGACTTCGTTGACCGTGGTTTAGGTTCGGTAGAGTATTTCTAGGTCTGGGGCGACCAAGTCAGAATACGTGTTTAATAGTTTGTAAAATATAGTGTTGGATCATATTTAGTCTGATCAATTGCCATGGAACGGGATACGTTTGATCAACTCAGGTTCTATTTTAAATTAGATTTTTCTTTTGAGGTTGGACATGAGCCTTCAATTTTGGGAAAACTTTCAATTTTGAGCCTTTTGATTTAGAGAATTGTGTTTGTGACAACATCTTTTCTTCTAGCAAAATTTTCTTTTAAAAATATTATATTTATGCAAGTGTGTATACATAGATGCAACAAATATTTTTAAAGAAACACACATGTGCAATACAATATGTGGTAAGTGCTTTTTCAGTACTAATGTGCCCAATTATTTAATGTGATTTTTTTTCATCTGGTTCACGATAGTATATTGATCTATGTAGCAAATGGTTACACTTAGTGCAACAAAAATTCAACTATTTACATCATTTATTAGTGTTTGTGCTTTCAAATGTAATTTGACTGTCATTTACAAATATGATTTGGATGCCACTAACATTTTAAAAAATACAATCTAAAAATAAGCATATGGAATAAGATTATGTTCCTAAATCTATTGTACATTTGAATTGGATACAGAATTATTTTGAGACCTTTTTCACTTTCAATACACTGTCACAAACTTGGAAGGTATAGAAAACTGAAGTGATTATTTGAGACATTGGATAAATAATAATTATTGTAAAAATATATGTTAGCTATATACATATATTCTCACAATGACAAAAAAAATTGAGAACTTTTCAGAAGCGTTTTTAAAATAAGAAGTTATCTGTAACTGATGTTATTTTAACACATATTTTGTTCAACTATATTTAGAAGCATACAACACAATGAAAAATAAGGGGTATGCACAAAATAAAATCCTAAAATTTGAATACTCAACCGATTATCAACAATTTTTTTCTTCTCATAACATATCATAAATTATAATTTAAAACCCATGTGAAAATTACGGTCTTAAAACATCCATGTACGTATATATATCAACAATGTTGAATCTCCTAAGTTTAAGAACATATTAATTTACCATACTATTTTATAATAAAACGTAGAATAATGTTTTTAGTATTAATTGAAACATCTATTTACACTGCCAAAGATTCTTTTCGATTTACTTCACAAAAATCTCATCACAAGTACAAAACTTTGAAAATATTCTACTTCACAAATTCCTGTTGAAAATATCAACATACCAACAAGTTTTTTTTTTTTTTTTTTTTTTTTTTTTTTTCTCCCCATCCATACACAATCTCTTTTCACTCTATTCCCAAATTTTCCTTCACTTTAGTTTTTTTTTATTTTCATCTAAAAATACTAGATCGTCGTATAACATGTGAAAGGATAACACGTGGATATACGGAACAGTATGTCATAGAGTGTACAACCCCACGATCCATGCTGAAATTGCTAAAAAAGAAAGAAAGAAAGAAACGCCAGTGTGAAAAGGGATCGACCAGTGTTAGTGTGAAAATGACTCGACAAGTGCCAGTGTGAAGAGGTACTGACTAGTATCGGTGTGAAAAGGGTAATATGCTGTCCAGGCTCACGGCGGCTGGGGGCAGTTCCCCTGTTCTTCGAGGCCTTGGAGGGGAGTTGCAGCGAAGGACTGGAATTGTCGAAGCAATGGCAACCGAGGCAGCCATCGACGCGGACCCATCGATCGATTCCGGTTCCGACAGCGAGGAGCCTTACTTCGATGCCTCCTTCTTTGTTGATGAAACGTAACCCACTCCCTGACCTGTGAAATTCCTTCTTACACTCTTGTCTGTTTCGGGGACGGAAGTCGAGCCTTAAACCTTCTGGTTTAATGCTTACCGTTTGTGGGGTTTATCCCGTTTGTGATCGGCTTTGTTGATTTTTCAGTTGGAAGTGCGCGATTGTCACATGAATTGTTGGGGTCGTTGCAGTTCTCTGAATAGATTCCGAATTGATTCAGGGGTTTGAATTTGAGGTTTAGGGTGACACGTAGACATGTCACGGCGCTTTTTGGCTTTTACGTATCCTGAAGTGCATTGCGATTCGTCTTTCTGAATCAGCATTTGTTGCATGTTTCGACTGATCATGGAATGGAGAAGTCGTTGAAGTGAGAGAGTGGTTGTTGTTCATGGTGATTGCAGATATGTTGAAAAGGAATTCGTTGTTGGGGCTCATACGATTAAGGTTCTGTGCCTTCAGTGCTCGTCAAGTGAGTGCGCTTTTGATCTCTTGGTTTTTGCTTCACTAGAATCCGAACAATTATTCGTCAAAACTGTAACTCATTGAGTAGTTTAGCATGAACGTAGGTTCTCGAAACTGGATTAGAGATCTCTAAAGAATCTCAGGAGAACCTTTCAGAAATATCGAACAGTTGCCCATCGTGTTAAGAATATCCTACCACTTTTCTTTTTATCTTTTTGCAATGTGAAGGATTAGGAGTAGCGGAATTGACTTGTGTCCTCTCTTATAACATATGCTTATAAGAAATGAGGTTCTAATGACGATGAAGTTGGTTTTGACACCACCATCCCGTGGCGTCTGAAAGTAGTAAACTGGCTATTAAGTCTTTTGTTGTGATATTTTAACGACCTGGTTCGGCTTTCTGACGTCGGCTAGGATCGGACTTTGGCTGCAGCTGATTATGATCTCACAGGGCAGCTGGTGTGGCCAGGAGCTGGAATTCTGAACGATTACCTAGTCAGTCATTCAAATGTTCTTGACGGTGTCTCTGTGATCGAACTAGGATCAGGAGTTGGTAAGATAGCCTCCCCGATTGTGGTCTTTCTGCAGAAGTTCAAGACTAAGTTTGGTCTCTTTCGAACTATTATGCTTCTGATAAGTGTAAAACAATTCAGTGCTCCGCGTGAAATGAGTGCATCACCCTAGTTCCGTCTCTTATTCGCACTTGGGATGGTTAGAGCCCCTTTGTTATTTTAAGAGAGCATTCTTGTACTACCTCTACTCTTTGTTTCAAGTAATCGTAATCTTAGGTCAAGTGCTACGTTATACTATTGAGTTCAATTGAATGCTGTCAGGACAACCACACTATCCCGGACCTTTATGTTTCAATGCTGCACGCCGTTTTTGTAAGCGGTTTATTAGATGCCGTTTGAAGCACCCCTCTCACAGGTGTTGGAAGACTACTTATGACTGTACACGAGTGTGGTGATCTTTTAGTGGATGTTGGTGTTGAAGATCACAGCGTCAAAGGTTTGTTCTACAGAGGGTGGTTCATGAATACTATACTCTTAAGAGCTTTCTGAATTGACAACTTTCGTCATGAGGCTGGATATGACCGTCATGCAGAAGACGAAAATTCCGCCATTGTGTGGAATGTATTTCTACTGGTTTATAATGTATTGGGAATTAACATCTGGGAGGTGATTGTAGGTCTCAATGGTTTGCTGTGTGCCCGGTACAGTCGTCATGTAGTCATGACTGATCACAACACCACCGTATTAAAGGCATGCCACTCTGCGCATGCTCTTAGTCTTAATCCTTAAACCTATTATCTTGTTTTGGATTCGTCATCCGTAAATTGGTCGTGAATGTTTTTAAGTGCACAGATTAAGTCATTCCTCGCCTCATATGTCGTTTTGATTCTTCTTTGCAAAATGGGAATTTGATGTCTTTCTTATTCGACCTTTCTTCTCTGTTTCTATGCAATGAAAGTCACGTCTTTGAATTGAATTTGAGAAAGAAATTTCTCTTTATGCAGGTAATGAAAAAGAATGTGGAGTTGCAGGGTGATACTTTGCAATCAAGTAAGAATCCTGTCCATTGTTCCTAGCTTCTTCAAATAATCCCGTATAGCGTTCTTTCAGTAATTGAGGGCAATTGTGCAGCTACATGGATCCGCGTGATTGTACTTTGTTGTTCTAACCTAGCGGAATCGCTCATGAGTTGTGGCTTACAGAGTCAACTGTTTCTAGTCAATGTATTCTGAATGATTCAGACTCGGAAATCTTTGCCATTCCTCGATATGCCTTCTGATGAAATTTCCTTCCTGTCGTAGAGGTGGATTGTGAGGAGCTTGACTGGGGCAACGAAGTCCACGTAGGACACATCAAGGAGACTTACCCTGATGGTTTCGACCTCATTTTGGGTGCAGACATCTATATCCTTTTTCGTGAAATTCTTCAATCAGATTCAGCCTATGCTGGGCGTAGTTTTCCAAGTGGGTTGCACAACGTTTGTTTCACATGTTCTAGCTGCATTGATTTCAGAATAAATGAGTTAAACTGGGTTTGTGGTTTGAGCAAGTTTTCTTAACCAACTGGTTCCACGCTATCACCAAAGCGCTGTAAAACCTCTCTTTGCGACCGTGAAAGCCCTCATGGAGCTTCGCCCTGTAGGGTCCTGCAAGTTTATTCTGGGTTATGTTTCCCGGTTCAAAAGGTTTGTCATCAACCACTTCTAACGTTATCCCTTAATCAAGTTAGAAGCGGTAGATACGAACAAATGCATTAAAATAATGTAGCCTTGTGCCGCGTAGCACGTAAAGTGCCTAAAGGTTCTTCGTTTCCATCTCCGTTCGATTGTGTCTCGACGTCTCCAACAATTTTCCTTGGTTTCTCTGTGCAGTAACGATATAGCAGTTAATGCGGAAGTTCAAAGATTGAAGATGGATATTTGCGAGGCTCCAGGAACCCGGAAATCGCTGGCAGGGGGTGCACATGAGGGTTGGGTGTATGAAATTTCCATTAAGCCTGATCAATCGTAGTGTTTTGTCCTGAAACTTGGAGAGGTTATCTTACATGTCGAACCATATTCTTACGTCCAAGTATGGGCATGGACAACGGTAATGAGGCCACAGAGTACAAAAGATTCGAATTTTTTTTCCGATTGGATCAGCTTGCTGAAGCTCACACTGTATCTTCCCTTGCTTGACGGGCTGTAGTCTTTAGGTCTCGCGTTTGTCGTATTAAAAGTCCACAATTGTGTGAATGCCATGCGGGAATAAAATCTTAAGCTAATCCTCGTTACGTATAGACAGAACCAGTCCATGCAGTCCATGCAGTTTCGAAATCCAGGCTTGAACGAGTGACGTTCCAGCAAATCTCATGCTTTTCTTTAGTCAAGGCATCACATCAGACGTGGGGTAAAGAAAAATTGCTGCAGTAGGTCGCAATTGTCTTGCTCCAGAGAATCGATATATTTATTTGCTGACATTCTACCTATCACCAGGAACCCTGGCTAAATTCTACATTATTGTCGAAACAAACTTCAAAGAGTCGTGATTAGTTTTGTTGGTCAATATATTGGTCTTAGTCGGATTTTAGAGCGCTAAGTTGACTTTCGGAGGTGATTCGCAACTTCTCGCCGTTGATAGTGACCAAGTATTTTGCGTGGAATGCTGTGGCATGAGCATTAGGGTTGCAGAAAACCTCGAAGAAGACGCCATCCTCTGTGTGGCGGTACTCCATGTTCTCCCACCGCCTCAGCCTCTCAGCCTTTTCTTTCTCCCTAAATGTGGTCATGAGACCAGCTATGGCAGCGTTAAGACCCTTCGCTGCATCCTGCAAGAAGGGAATGGTGAGTGACGTTCCCCCGATGTGAAACGTAATTAGAGTCCTTGTTGCAACCATTTCTGTGCAAAAAGTTGAAGGAAGCATGCCAAGACAGGCCGCAAAAGCTTCATCGACTTCCAGACTTCATCACATTGTATCTGAGAATCTAGAATGAGTGAGAACCATCAACAACTGAAGAAGTTGTTCAAGAACACCTCCTCCTCGTAAGATGATGAATGTTTCAAACTGAAATGGACGCTTATCTTCACCCGCTGCAACACGCTGAGTCACCTTAAGTTGTACGATGCAACTGGATATTTCCTTTAACAACAAAATCAATAACAATGCGTAGATAATCACATATTCCGTACAAAACACACGGAAGGTGAGCTGCATTCCGACACTTACCATGCGTTTGGGCGGAGCAAATAGGAAGCCGTCGGAGGGAATATCAGAATTGGAGACGAAACGGCGAAGCAGCATCAGCAGGAGCAGAGATAGAAGACGGACGAGCTATGAAGGAGGGCACAACTGCTGTCAGTTGCGCCATAGCCATAGCCATCGCCAGGTACATTGCTGTAGCGTGCAGATGGGTGGTGACAGCAACGAAAACGTAAGACTGCAGGGACGATGTGATGAAGCGACCTCCTCCTTGTGCCCGCTTGGCTGGAACCTGGAGCCTACGAATGCGCGACGCAGACGTTCGACCCCACCCCTGAACTTACCCAACCCTTTTGTCGGTACCAGCGTGAAAATTCTTCGTCTGTAGCGAGGCAGAGAATTCTAGTTTGGTGCAACAGAAAGATACTCCACGTGGAAAATTCTATCTTTGGCAGGAAGAACGAAGTCCCCACCGGGACGGAGCTGCTGAGGAGCTTTCGTCCGGATCGTTGACCACCAAACAGTCTAGCTTGACAACGGACAAAGGAACGAAAAAGAATTGGAAGAGGGTGAAACAAATTTAGTTTATTCCGGCAATTGCTGGCATCTTGACCAGTTTTGCACACCTTGCGATGTCCGAGCCGAGTAGTGGGTGTGATAGCGAGACAGCACAGATTCAGTGACTGCAAGCTGGCCGGGGCAGCAGAATAGGGAGCTGCCGTGTCGCTACCCCCTCAAGTGAAGGATTGAAGTGCGAGAGGGAGGAGGAGGCTCTTTCCTGGGCGAAGTTGTTATCCTCTTGCTTTGGTCAACGTGATTAACACCTTGCATGTCCTCCAGTGATGAAATTGGACTTAGCCATCTCTTACGCGGCGGAGAGCGTGTGTTTCGCTGGTGGTGGCAGTTTCGTCAGGGAAGAGTTAGACAGCTTCGTGTGGTGTTTGCTTTGGATTGGGACTCATTGGTTGCGCTTGTGACGTGGTCGCCACTGACACGGAGCTGCCCAGGAGCGAAGTTTTCATGCCTAATTGTGATGCTGAATCAAGCCACCGGGATTCCTTGCAAGCTCAATTAGGGCAGTATGAGTGGTTAGAATGATGGGCAATTTTTTACAAAAGGCTCTTGTCAGAGTGAGGGTATCGACAGAGAAAGAGATTGGACGTGGTCGAGACTCAGGGAGGAGTGTCGGAGTTGAGTTCGCTGTTTAGTTTCCAGGATCGACAGAGATGCAGAGATCATGGTATGGAGTGGTTTGAGAAAGGAGAGGGAGATGGAAGGGTGCAGCTCTAGGTGCTTCAAATGAAGAGATTAAGGGTAAGAAGGGGACGTGTGAGACTTAGGGTTTCAGTAAAATCTGTACAGGTTGTGAAGTTTGTCACAAGGGCATGGAGGGGTTGATTTCGTGATGGTCATGGCTTCTTTGAGGAAGACGTTGTTACAGAAAATCCGTGATCCCAGAGCGGCTATTGCTGGTAAGACAGCTCCCTCGCAGCAGCAGCATACCCATCCACTCTTAGCACTCTTGGCAACTGCGGCATTGTCTCTAGCTCAGGCTCTGCTGCTTCTTCCCTGTTACCTGCACATGAGATTAGTCGGACCAGCAGAGGGTAGCCAGAAAGGTGCGGCAAAGATGAGCAGCTGGAAGAAGTTGCTTGTCCAGTTCGGGGTATGTTTCACTATAGGCTTATGTTTGGGGTGGTTTACTCCTCACAAGTGGATGCAACATTCTTTGGCTGTTGATGGAAGACCCTTTTTTGGTGATGCCAAGACCACAGATGTAGATCTATCTGGAAGATTTGTGGCTACGAATGCATTGATGGATGCGAAGACAGCGACGAAGGGGAGAGACATGATCAGCTTCGATGCGGCTAAGAACAATTTTTCAGGTGACCTTTTGGTGCAACGCTATCCTTAGAAAGAGTAGAGAATCTTTGTAAGTGTAACTGCCCCACATCCAATCACCCACATGAGGAATGGTGGGAGCGATTGTGCAATTGTCTGGAAATTAGGAATAATCCAGCGAATCGTTTATCTTCGGCTTTAGATCTAAGATGACTATTCTGTTTTGATGGCGGTGAATTCTTCGAATTATTGTCAGGTGTGGGAGTTAATTTTGAGATGCCTCTGGAGTACAGAAAGTTGCTAATTATTGTAACTCCAACATACGTCCGGCCGTTCGGAGCGTACTACTTGACACGGCTAGCACACACCTTAAAGCTTGTCCCACCGCCTTTATTGTGGCTGGTGGTCGAAATGCACTATCAGTCGCTAGAGACAGCTCAGCTGTTACGCGAGACTGGGATCATGTACCGCCACCTTGTGTGTGACAAAAACCTTACGAATGTGAAGGATCGTGCGGCGTCCCAGCGCAACACTGCCTTGGCCCACATTGAACACCACGAGCTTGACGGCATCGTCTACTTTGCCGACGATGGCAACATGTATACTTTGGAGCTTTTTGAGCAGATGAGGAACATCACGTGCGAAGCCTTCCGTCTTTCACCCTTCTGTGATTTTTTCTGAATATTAACAGCCAAATTACTTGAAGGTTTTTGAGCTACTGCTATAACCTATTCTCGAAGCCACCTTAGGGTGTGTACTTATTTATCACTAGTGTCTGCCGCATCTTCGTTATGGTGTGGCAAGGATGTCTTCAACGCTTATGATGTGAGTGTTGTTTGTACAGGCGCTTTGGCACTTGGTTGGTGGGAATACTGGCGCCGGGCAAGTCCCGGGTCGTCTTTGAGGGTCCCGTTTGTGAAGGTGAGAAGGTTATAGGATGGCATACAAGTGACAGGAGCAAGAGGCTGAGACGGTTTCATGTGGACATGTCTGGATTTGCTTTCAACTCAACTATGTTATGGGATCCACGTCGGTGGAAGCGTCCCACGTTGGAGCCCATCCGGCAGCTGGACAGTATCAAGGAAAGCTCTCAGGTCGGTACTGGTTACACACATATCAATTCGCAATGATTGTGTAGATCAACTCATAATTATTGTCCACGCATTCTCACTAATTCTGAATCCTCGTCGGCTTTCTCTTTGTGCAGCAAACCTCGTTTATTGAGCAGCTCGTCCCAGATGAAAGCTACATGGAAGGACGACCACCTGGGTGCCTCAAAATTATGGTGTGGCACCTTCAACTGGAGGCACCCAAAGGATTCCCGTATCCTGCTCGTTGGACTCTGACGACACCTTTGGAAGCAAACATACCTCTCCGCAAAGCCAACTTAGTACAGCTATAACCATCATACTCAGCTATAAATATAGCTCCAAGGAATTGCAAGGGACGAAGTAAGAGTTGCTACCCTCTGTTCATTGTGAGCTGAAGAACGCTGACTTGGAGTGCAGGTATGTCTCCAAAAACATTCTGTTGAATAGGATTAGGATCCGAAACTTAGAAGCAAAGTAAACAGTCATTTGCCCACATGGGATACAGCTACACTTCTGGTCACTCAAATTGCTCGGCGAGGGCCTCCTAGTCATGTGGTAGGGCCATGGGAATACATCCCTCCACAGTGATTGTATAAACACCTTGATTTATTAGCCGCATTGGCAGGCTTGTACCTCCTCCTCCTCTTCTTCTGTTTTGCGCTTGTGGGTCCCTGCAGTTGTCTTTTGCAGTCGCTGCTTGTGGCGAGAGCTTTGACGTTGAAGTCATTTTTTTTCTGGCTCAGTGCATCTGCTGGGTGTGTGTGTGTGTGTGTGTTTGTGGTTTCCCTGACCTTTGAGGCATCGAACCAAAACAAGGATGCAGATTGTGTCTCTGTTGATGGCAAAGCAATTGAGTTGTGAAAGCAATTTGAAGATCTTGCTGTGCTGGGTGATGTGCCGACGAAAGCCCTGGAAACAAGGTTGATTTCTCACGGATCTTTTTTCCCGGTCTTTTTCCTCTCCTCTCCCTTTGAATGCATTATTTTTTGAATGTTTCAATTATCAACATATTGTTTGATGTGTTGAACAAAAGATTAACTTTTGAATGCCAATATGTTAAATGAATGATCCATCCTTGAGTTCTTTTCTGAAACTTGCACAATTCAATTCAATGCAAGGAATTTGATTCCCCATTGTGTATTAGGACGTAGGAATTATTATGAAGATGCAAGAAGTTTTGTGAGATGGGATTATTAAAAGCTTGGTGACATCAAGAGTTGTGTGCTAATAATTTTTTATTCTTTGGAGCTACTTCCTTTTGGATATTCAAAATTTTGTTGCTGTTGAGAGGTTTTGGAAATGGAGTTGGATTCCAACTTTTCACAATAGTTTGAGGTGTGAGGTTGAATTTGTATAATTTGTGATGAAATTCATCTCTTGTCCTATTCCTTTCATTATTTGTTGATATGTCAATAAAGTATTAATTGACTCATTCAATTGCATACCTATACTTAGACTATATAGTATGTATAAGTAGATTTGATTCTTGGTGTATTATACTTCTTTTGATTAAGTAAAACTTAACCTTTTTGATCTTTGAAGCATGATGCAATCATTTGATTGCAACATAGTATTAGAACAAACTTTGATTCTTTTTACCTTCCTTTTGCTCTTTCACTTTGTTACTCTCTTGTTTAGTAATCTACTTTCTTCAATTATTCAATCTTCTCCCTTTATCTCTTATAATAGAGTTGGTCTTGTTTAGAGGAGACATTTTGGAGAACTCAAAGTTGTAAGGCATCATCAACTACACCATCTAATCATACAAGCGTCAAATTCTTCTTCAAGCCAAATGATGTTATATAATAACACAACCATTAGGCGAAAGAAGAAAATAATTATTTTATTATAGAAGAGCCTAATTAAAAATATATAGTAAAAAAATATAGACAAATAATAGGCATATAGTAAAATCTATTAGTGTTAGAACTACCTTTTATGAAAATAGATTCTATTTACTTTGTAGAGTCATAAATAAAGAAAAATAAGATATATTAGAAAAATAAAGCAAATAGGCATATGTAGAAGAGAGTTAGGAGTTGATTTTAGCAAAAATTACATCAAGAAGACAAGAATTAATATCCGGAGTGGACTGGTTGCCAACAAGGATCAAAATCAGACCCTGAGGCACAAAAGTAAGCACCTATGGCGACTTTAGGGTTTTTTTGCATATCCAATTGTAGAATGTGAAAGCAGACTTAAGGAAAGAATTTTAAGTCTTGGTTTCATGTCATTTGGATCAATATTGAGATTTTGAAGAATTTCCAAAGTTAGTAATGTACTTGGTGGATTTAGATTTTGAGAAATAAAAATATATTTATAAATTTGAGGATTTCTTGAGTTTTGTAGTATGTGAATAAATGAAAATTGGATGGTTTGTTGTTGTGCTTGTTGTAAATGTGTGGAAGAAATTTGAGGTCAATCAAGTAGTTAGATTGAAGCACATGAAGATTTTTGTATGTTATGGTCTTCAAAATTTGAGATTTATAGTCAGTGAATGATTCTAAGATCTAGCAGTATTTGCTAGTTGGATTGAAGAAAAAATTAGTGAGAGCAATTATCTACCCACAACTCAATTTTTGGAGTGATTGAACAATTCAGCAAGGAAAAATTGATGTTGAAAAATTAACATTCAAATCAGAGAAGGAAAGAAGCCAATGACCGAGAGGTTTTGGAAGCTTATCATTTGCTTATTGATTGAAGTTTAGGTGAAATTTTAATTAAGATTTAGATTTCAATTAATATTTATTGAGGTTTCAAATAGCTATAGTAATTAATTGAATTTTACTTGAATTATTTTTAGAGTTATTTAGGATTTGATCTAGGATTAGGATTTAGAATTTGATTAGAGTTTGACTAGGATTTGATAAGGATTTCATTAAGATTTGATTATGATTTAGGATTTTATTAGGGTTTAATATAAAATTAAGATTTAGTATTTATTTAGGATTTAAATATGATTTAGTCTAAGATTGGAGTTTAGGATTTGATTAGGATTTAATTAGGATTTAATTAGAATTTAGAATTTCAATAGAATTTGGTCTAAGGTTAGGATTTAGGATGTAATTAATATTTATTTAAGGTTTGATTAAAGTTTGATTAATATTTAGGATTTTATTAAAGTTTGATTGAAATTGATTTAAGATTTCATTAGGATTTGTTGAAGATTATATTTGAAATTAATTAAAATTCAATTAAGATTTTTATTTTTGATATTTTTTTAAGATTTTTTTATTATATATATTTTATTAAGATTAATTTATGATTTCTTTATGTTTTTTTTGATAGTTCTTGAGACTTCTTTTGGATTTAATTAAAGATTTATTAGCATTGTTATAATTTAATTGAATTTTGTTTAAGATTCTATTAGAGTTATTAAGATCATCTTATTGCAAGTTCCATTTTTCCTTCTATAGTTAGGTGTCCAATACATTCTCAAGCAGACTTTACATAATATGACAACATTTATTGGGCATCATCAATCCCTCCAACAACCCAATTACAAAATCCTCATCAACCAATTTTCTTCACGTAGAACAAATGACTTAGGATACTACATAAGGCTCTCTTTCTTTACCTACCTCCATACTAAGCTCAATCTTTATAGAATAACCACATAAAGCAACAAGAATTATTATCTCAATAGTAAAAGTTTCCATCTTATCTCATATTATGCATACTATAGATCATAGAAAAATCTAGACAAAATTGAGAGATTTGTATCAATGAAATTCCATGAATAATAAACTATTTCTCAAATCTCAATTATAAATCATTTTAGTGAACTTGACAATCTCTTCATACAAAAAGATGTTATTAGAATCAAAAATTGTAAAAAGATTGAAATTGAAGAAGCTCTATTAATTCAATACTAAGTACTCTATATATCTAGATTCAACTTTTGTAGAAATCAGAGCTATATAAAAAGATGCTTTAATTCATCATGTGGATGCTCCTTCAACAAAAACTATCAACAATTATAATTTTCATTACAACATCCTCTAATATATGGTAGAAATTCAAAGAATAGATTTAAGAAAGATACTCACAATGAATGCAAGAGTCTTTTCTATTGAGCAAATAAATGTGGATTCCAATAATTTTGGAACAAGGTCGACAAATTAGAAATTGGAAGTAGATCAAACTCTTTTTGATGGCATTCAAATCACTTTGCCAACATTGTCAAGGTATCTTCACCTCACACATCTTTTGAAGAAGCTACACTTCTTGAAGTACTTAAAATGTATATAGCTATCAAGGACAAGAACATGATAAAAATAAATAAACAAGTAAGACTTCTCTCAAAGAAAGATGACACAATAGAAATAAATTGATATGTATATTAAAAAAGAAACTAGAATGGCTATTGCCAAAAGTCAAGAAAAGTAAAGACCCTTGAAACAAGACAAGAAAGAAGAAAGGAGTTGACAAGAGTGAAGAAGGCTTCACTCTTATCTCTATATATACTATCTAATTAGGGGCTATGTGGCAATGTTCTATAGGACCTTCAATATGTATTGACTTTGTAGGACACATGCCTAGACTTATAAGGCAAGTTTTTCTATATGTGGGTCACATAATTAGTTTAATCTTTAAGCTAACAACATGTGTAGCACATGGCCAACTTTTTGACCACGTTTCTAATCCAAAAAGTCAATTAAAGATACCTATAAAGTCAAAGTAGCATCTATACAGCTTCTAGGAAGCTTCCATAGTAAATATTACAGAATTAGATTTTTTTTTTGTACTTTTACTTACTTCTACATATTTATACATGTAATTACTCGCTTACATGCATATGCCCATGATATTACCCCCCTTCTAGGGATGAGTTCCATGAGGAGTGGTCATCATATGTTGAGAAAATCTATGATGTGACAAATTATATTTGCCATATATTCTAATCTTTGTTCTCTTCAAAGATGATTGATATGGCCTCTCAACCATCGATAGTATCCCATACCAAGGCAGAAAGACTACCCAGTTATTTGATTATTGTTGAGGCCTTCATAACTTCCTTCGAATAAAATATTTGGAACACTGTTAGGAGTTGTTCCTACATCTAGTAAAATTACCAAATATCGGGAGTCGCTTCCAAGGTCATGATACCAAATGCGTTGTATCTCGCCATCTATTCGAAGAAGAACATGTCGTTCTTGAAGATCTTCATCTTGATTGCGTCGTCTTGAAGGTTGTGACAATTGTAATGTCTCGTCTGGCACGTCAGCAAACAAAGGCTCTTGAGTCAAATCCGCTAGTTGTTGGTTCTCCATCTCCTCAGCATCACAACTACAAAGAAGCTACAAACAAGGATTGAAAGTAGAATGTTATCTTGCTTAGATCTTGTTTCTTTTATAAGAAAGATTTTCATCTTGATTTTGATGGATGTTCTTGATGAAAAGCTTCCACTGCCTTTGCTGCATTTGCAAGATTCTTTACAAGCTCTCATGTGTATTCATTAATATCATATCCATGCTAATGGACAAGATATTCCAATTTATTTTGGCGCCACCTTGAATCTAAGACTTCTTCCACTTCAAATTCTTCATTATTGTCCACTTCTATAGGAGGAGGTAGAGCTTGTCTTCTTCTTGGTATATCCACTATCTTGTGTGGTTCAAGAAGAGACACATGGAATA